TAAAATTGTTATAATAAAATATATAAAAATTTATAAAATTTAATTTTAATTATAAAAAATTAATTTAATAAAATATTAATAATAAATTAATAATTTTTTAAAATTGTTATAATAAAATATATAAAAATTTATAAAATTTAATTTTAATTATAAAAAATTAATTTAATAAAATATTAATAATAAATTAATAATTTTTTAAAATTGTTATAATAAAATATATAAAAATTTATAAAATTTAATTTTAATTATAAAAAATTAATTTAATAAAATATTAATAATAAATTAATAATTTTTTAAAATTGTTATAATAAAATATATAAAAATTTATAAAATTTAATTTTAATTATAAAAAATTAATTTAATAAAATATTAATAATAAATTAATAATTTTTTAAAATTGTTATAATAAAATATATAAAAATTTATAAAATTTAATTTTAATTATAAAAAATTAATTTAATAAAATATTAATAATAAATTAATAATTTTTTAAAATTGTTATAATAAAATATATAAAAATTTATAAAATTTAATTTTAATTATAAAAAATTAATTTAATAAAATATTAATAATAAATTAATAATTTTTTAAAATTGTTATAATAAAATATATAAAAATTTATAAAATTTAATTTTAATTATAAAAAATTAATTTAATAAAATATTAATAATAAATTAATAATTTTTTAAAATTGTTATAATAAAATATATAAAAATTTATAAAATTTAATTTTAATTATAAAAAATTAATTTAATAAAATATTAATAATAAATTAATAATTTTTTAAAATTGTTATAATAAAATATATAAAAATTTATAAAATTTAATTTTAATTATAAAAAATTAATTTAATAAAATATTAATAATAAATTAATAATTTTTTAAAATTGTTATAATAAAATATATATAAATTTATAAAATTTAATTTTAATTATAAAAAATTAATTTAATAAAATATTAATAATAAATTAATAATTTTTTAAAATTGTTATAATAAAATATATAAAAATTTATAAAATTTAATTTTAATTATAAAAAATTAATTTTAATTATAAAAAATTAATTTAATAAAATATTAATAATAAATTAATAATTTTTTAAAATTGTTATAATAAAATATATATAAATTTATAAAATTTAATTTTAATTATAAAAAATTAATTTAATAAAATATTAATAATAAATTAATAATTTTTTAAAATTGTTATAATAAAATATATAAAAATTTATAAAATTTAATTTTAATTATAAAAAATTAATTTAATAAAATATTAATAATAAATTAATAATTTAAATTAATAAATATATAAAAATTTATAAAATTTAATTTTAATTATAAAAAATTAATTTAATAAAATATTAATAATAAATTAATAATTTTTTAAAATTGTTATAATAAAATATATATAAATTTATAAAATTTAATTTTAATTATAAAAAATTAATTTAATAAAATATTAATAATAAATTAATAATTTAAATTAATAAATATATAAAAATTTATAAAATTTAATTTTAATTATAAAAAATTAATTTAATAAAATATTAATAATAAATTAATAATTTTTTAAAATTGTTATAATAAAATATATAAAAATTTATAAAATTTAATTTTAATTATAAAAAATTAATTTAATAAAATATTAATAATAAATTAATAATTTTTTAAAATTGTTATAATAAAATATATAAAAATTTATAAAATTTAATTTTAATTATAAAAAATTAATTTAATAAAATATTAATAATAAATTAATAATTTAAATTAATAAATATATAAAAATTTATAAAATTTAATTTTAATTATAAAAAATTAATTTAATAAAATATTAATAATAAATTAATAATTTTTTAAAATTGTTATAATAAAATATATAAAAATTTATAAAATTTAATTTTAATTATAAAAAATTAATTTAATAAAATATTAATAATAAATTAATAATTTTTTAAAATTGTTATAATAAAATATATAAAAATTTATAAAATTTAATTTTAATTATAAAAAATTAATTTAATAAAATATTAATAATAAATTAATAATTTTTTAAAATTGTTATAATAAAATATATAAAAATTTATAAAATTTAATTTTAATTATAAAAAATTAATTTAATAAAATATTAATAATAAATTAATAATTTTTTAAAATTGTTATAATAAGATATATAAAAATTTATAAAATTTAATTTTAATTATAAAAAATTAATTTAATAAAATATTAATAATAAATTAATAATTTTTTAAAATTGTTATAATAAAATATATAAAAATTTATAAAATTTAATTTTAATTATAAAAAATTAATTTAATAAAATATTAATAATAAATTAATAATTTTTTAAAATTGTTATAATAAGATATATAAAAATTTATAAAATTTAATTTTAATTATAAAAAATTAATTTAATAAAATATTAATAATAAATTAATAATTTTTTAAAATTGTTATAATAAAATATATAAAAATTTATAAAATTTAATTTTAATTATAAAAAATTAATTTAATAAAATATTAATAATAAATTAATAATTTTTTAAAATTGTTATAATAAAATATATAAAAATTTATAAAATTTAATTTTAATTATAAAAAATTAATTTAATAAAATATTAATAATAAATTAATAATTTTTTAAAATTGTTATAATAAAATATATAAAAATTTATAAAATTTAATTTTAATTATAAAAAATTAATTTAATAAAATATTAATAATAAATTAATAATTTTTTAAAATTGTTATAATAAAATATATAAAAATTTATAAAATTTAATTTTAATTATAAAAAATTAATTTAATAAAATATTAATAATAAATTAATAATTTTTTAAAATTGTTATAATAAAATATATAAAAATTTATAAAATTTAATTTTAATTATAAAAAATTAATTTAATAAAATATTAATAATAAATTAATAATTTTTTAAAATTGTTATAATAAAATATATAAAAATTTATAAAATTTAATTTTAATTATAAAAAATTAATTTAATAAAATATTAATAATAAATTAATAATTTTTTAAAATTGTTATAATAAAATATATAAAAATTTATAAAATTTAATTTTAATTATAAAAAATTAATTTAATAAAATATTAATAATAAATTAATAATTTTTTAAAATTGTTATAATAAAATATATAAAAATTTATAAAATTTAATTTTAATTATAAAAAATTAATTTAATAAAATATTAATAATAAATTAATAATTTTTTAAAATTGTTATAATAAAATATATATAAATTTATAAAATTTAATTTTAATTATAAAAAATTAATTTAATAAAATATTAATAATAAATTAATAATTTTTTAAAATTGTTATAATAAAACTACGAAAAACCAAAGTGTTCCTATATACTTTTGTCCATTAAAAAAATCACGTTATTTTAATAATTTTAAGTTTTGGCGAGATGTTTTTAAAAATTTAAAATTTTAATTATTTAATCGTATTTCTCTTTATAATCCACATATTTAAACAAAATTTGCTAAAATTTGGTCAAGTATGTCCCATGCATGTTATAAGCTTTTTAAGTGTTTTTATACTTTTTTTGCAGTACTGTACCACGACACGGACTGGGGGTTAACTATTCGCCTAACACTATAAAATCAAAATTAAACATATGGTATTTTATTTATGTTGTCTCATTTATCAATTTTTTGTTAATTTTTGTATTTAATGTTTATTTGGATTAACAATTTTGTCAAGTGATGATTTTTCAGTTAAAAATAAACATTCATTTGGCAATTTCTCTTTAACAATTTTTCGCAGTCCTCTGCCACCTTTTTTAATAAAATTGGCTAATTGATAAAAAGGTCGAAGAAGGCCATCCTTAATTTTTAAAGAAAATATTTAAATTTAGCCTATTAATAATTTAAGTCTAAGTAGGGAAAAATAGGTAGTGGCATAGTTACTAGTGTTCGGCATTTGCGATTTTTCGAAATCGAGATTATCGAAAAAAATCTCGATTTTTCCAAAATTTGATCGAGACGATATCGATAATCTCGGAAAATCTCGATATCGAAAAATCTCGGTCCAAAATTTTCGAGATTATCGCGATATTTCGATATTTTTTATAATCCCTTAGAATTGAATAAAAATTTATTTCAATCAATATAATTATGATCTAAACGTAAATTTGCCAAAAAAAATTGCCAAATTTGCCACCCCCATGCCACACGTCACACGTGAATGATAAATAATCACATTTAATACAATAAATGTAAAATAAATTTATAAATAGTGAATAAATAGTGAATTTAATCAATGGAAGTGTTTGGTTCAGAAAAATTAACATTTCTGCATTTACTGGACTCAAAAGATCAGCGGCTATTTTTATCCAATTAGTTATTTTAGACAAAAAATCTAATCTATTTGAAACAAATTGATCCTTGAATCTGGGATCCAAATAATGAGCGACCGCAAAAACTCTGGATAAATGAATATATTGGCTTAAAATTGATAATTACTTCATGTTTTCTGACTTGACCGATACGAGATCGATAATCTCGAAAAATCTCGATTTTTTCAAAAATTGATCGAGACGAGATCGAGATCGATAATCTCGAAAAAAATCTCGCGATATCTCGAAAAATATCGTCGATATATCGTCTCGTGACGAACACTAATAGTTACCGTGATAACACCGCCAGCTCTTGGACAAGTTTTGTTTAATTCTTCACGAAAGCATGGAAGGAAGCAATTGGAGGCGCTATTGATAAAAAAATAAATTTTAATTGGCTAAAATTAAGAATATTAAATGAAAATTCTATCTTTCCATTCAAACATTTCGGGGTATGAATCTAATTTTGGTAAAATAAATCACAGTCGGGTCCCGTGTATATGATACCTCTCATTCAGAGAAGTACGACAACAGTGTGAGAAATTTGTACAAGTGGCTTCTGATTTTACTTGCGTGTCAATTTTTGTACCGAAAAAATTCGTTAATGAGTTCTTCTAACCTTAGAAATCCCCCCAGCTTTTTCCTATTTTATATAACTAGCCTGCAAATCCCTCCCATATGTGAAAGAAGTTCAAGAGCATGAGCAATACTATGCCCTTTCAAATCTTGTCTGTGAGAGAATTCAGCAATTGAATTAAGTAAATGACATTTTTGTTCACATTTTTGATTTAAATTATCCAAATTTTGACGTAAACATTTCTCATTTTTTCTAATAAAATGTTGCTTTGGCCCATCACAAAGGCTTCGAATACCACTTGTTACAGAATCGAAAATGCTTGCACTCAAACAAAGGCCGTGGTGAATACATTTTTTGGCCTTGTCTGATTCACTAAATTTTTAATTTTAAAATTTAGTACAGTCAAAATATTCTAAGTTTGGAAGACTTTTATAGAAAAGCTGAAAGACATTAAGACCTGGAGGGCTTAGAAATTATATGAAAAATCCCTTTAATATTTGGGATTTTTTCGAGAAGGAAAATTCTAAATCCAATTTTAAGAAATTATTAGACTGAAAAAGGTAAATAGGTGAAGAAGTCGCAGGAAAAATATTTTAATTATTTAGGGGGAATAATTTGAAAAATTTGAGGTGGTTTAATTTATCTATCATTTACCGTATTTCCTCAATATTACGGCCCTCACCACTTTTTTTAATCAACTTCTAATGGGCAGTACTAATAGTGGGGGCAGTTGCCCAAGCTAGAAAAGTTTTTTAAAATTCTTTAATTTATTATTATTATAAATATTATAAAAATATTATAACCTCAATATAAGAAACAATTGATGGGGCCCTACTATTTAGGAAATACGGTATTTAATTCATAAACTTAACAGACTTGCAAAGATTTTGAAAATGTTCGTAGGTATTGTTAAACAAAAGAAATTGTGTCATTTCTACTCGAAGATTTGTTATACATTGCCAAATACAATGGGGCATGTCTATTGCCTTTAAATTTATTTAAACAATTTTTCTTTGATAATTTTTGTATATTCTCTTACGTTAAGTAACGCATCAACATCAACATTATTTTTTGTTAGTAAAGTAGCCGGGCTGCTGCAATTGTTCTCCAAACAAATTGGGTTATGAGCATCTAGATTTAATTAAAAATAATTTTAGTTGTTAAATGAGGGGTTTCAAGAAAATTTATGAAACAATTAGGTCCTTCAGATAACATACGCCGCCTGATTAAAAAATTACGAAAAAAATACACCAGCTTAGACAGCCACAATCCGCAAGCGCAAGTTCCCGAGACAGTCTTTGTTAGTGAAATTTTTTATAATTTTTTTATAAAAAATTTGTTTGAAAATCGAGAATGAGCAAAATAAGGGAATTGAAAATGTTATAGGGTTGTCCGAAAAAAGGGAATCCGCAGCATTTATTTTAAAATCCGAAATTGCGATACCCCTGGTTAGATATTTCTGATTGTCTTATGAAAACAATTAAAATTATATTTAGTATATTTTAAAGAAATTTAATATAAATTACCTAAAATATTTATAGTTAGTGTTAAAAATAAAAATATTTTAATAAATAACATTTTAATAATAATCTTTAAAGTTCTTTCTTCTTTAAATTTAAAAATAAATAAAAGGGAGGGGGAGAACTAAATAGTAATTTTTTTAAAAATATTTAACAAATTTGCTTGAAGAAAAAGATTAGTCATAATTTTTATTTAAAAAATATTAGTAACTGTTTAAAAGTTAAAAAAATAAATTTAAAATAGAAGAAAGATTGGAGATATTTCTTCTAAGAAAATAATTTTTCTTTTGGAATCCAAAAAATATTTTTCAAGAAAAGTTAACAAGGAAATTTAATAAGATTAGACAATTTTAACTTTGATTATCTAATATACACAGGTACATACTTGGAAAATAATTATAGAAATTTTTTGTTCAAACAAATTTTTCGTTTATTTTTTATCAAAGGGATAAAAAGAAAGGGAAATATTATTTTATTTTTACCAAAAAATTTTTTTCAAACATTTTTTGTTCTGAAAAGTTTTTTTTGTTTCCTTTTAAACAAATTTTTTACAAACTTTTATTTGTGTCAAGTTTTGCATATTTTTAAAAAGTATTTACTAAAAATTTTTATAGTACATTTAAAAAGTGATTTATTTATGAATATGAGCCATTTGACAAAAGAAATTCTTCAAAAATATTTTGATAAAAATGGACAAAAAAATGATATTTGAAAGTTAACAAAAATTTCGTGTCAGGGCAGTTCTTCGAACGGACACGACTTCGACCGACAAAACTTCGACCGACAGAACTTCGAATTACCAAAACTTCGTCCAGACAAAACTTCGAATGACCAAAACTTCGTCCAAAGAGCTTGGGGTTATTTTGGCGCAAGCAATTATTTTTTTAAACAGGCAATTGGATTTTTTCGGTACCGGTACCGGAAGTAGCGAAAAGAATCGATACCGAAAAGTCAACCGGAACTGTTAATACCGTATCGGAAAGATTTTGGAATTTTCAGTACTCAAACGGGGTACTTTTTGGTACCGGTACCGTACCGAAAAGATTTTGGAATTTTCGATACTCAACCGGTACTGGTACTTTCTGGTACCGGTACCGTACTGAAAATTCCAAAATCTTTCCGGTACGATACCGGTACCAAAAAGTACCAGTTCCAGTTGAGCACTGAAAATTCCAAAATCTTTCCGGTACGATACCGGTACCAAAAAGTACTAGTTCCAGTTGAGCACTGAAAATTCCAAAATCTTTCCGGTACGATACCGGTACCAAAAAGTACCAGTTCCAGTTGAGCACTGAAAATTCCAAAATCTTGCCGGCGTACCGGAAAGTACAAGAACCGGTTGAGTACCGGAAATTCCTAAAGCTTACCGGAACGTAAGTGCCGGTAATCCCGATAAACAGATTTTCTAAAATTTAGTTCTTTTCGGTATCGATTCTTTTCGCTACTTCCGGTACCGGTACCGAAAAAATCCAATTGCCTGTTTAAAAAAATAATTGCTTGCGCCAAAATAACCCCAAGCTCTTTGAACGAAGTTTTGGTCATTCGAAGTTTTGTCTGGACGAAGTTTTGGTAATTCGAAGTTTTGTCGGTTGAAGTTTTGTCTGGACTGAGTTTTGTCATTCGAAGTTCTGCCCCTCACCCCAAAAATTTATAGGATTAAAATAAATTATCAAAAAAAAGAAGATTAGATGTAGAAATGTAAAGGATGTTTTGTCCTACTTGAGAAAAATATGTAGGCCCTCCATGAATTATTAACGGAAAATTTAAACATGAGATAATTTTGTGGCAAATTTTATGGGCTTTCAGATAGGCATAAAATAAAATTTTTAATTTAAGCTCTAGGGTGTTAAAATATTTTTTAAAGTACTGTACCCCGATTTCCCGTTGATTTTTGAGATTTGAGATCTCGATGACGAAATAAGTTACGGACTTCGTTCTTTTAATTTTCTACTCAGTATCGATGGAAATGTTCATAAAAATTTTTATAGAATTTTTGACCGAACAAGTCGATATTTCTAGTCTGGTCCTATCTTTTTTCCACCCAAAAATTGTGTAGTATTTGTTTTTAAATGTTTTGTAGAATTAATTGCTAATAAATAAGGAAATATTTGTACTCATTTGATAAAGGATAATTTATTCAATAATTTCTGTCAATTTTTTCCCTTAAAAGATTGAAATTTGAAAGATAATTTGAAGAAAGGAAAATGTGTTACCAAAAACGGGACTGGAATGTCACATACCAGTAAAAATAATTTTTACCGTGTCAAAATAAAACAATTTTATTTCCAACAGCATTCAAAAAAGAAAATCAAAAAATGTCTTTTAAAATAATTTAAAAATATTTTTTCGTAATTTATGTTTTATCTTCGCCTGGTACGATCCATTTCTTCTTCATAAATATTCTGGAGCACACTAAAATTATAAAAACATTTTTTAAAATTCTTCTAAATTAAATATTTTCAATATTTATAAACTTACATTTTGAGGTCGTCATCTTTGATTTCTTTACTTTGTAACAATCTATTGGACAACTAAATAGTATTTTTTATATAAAGCAATTTATTGCTTTATACCTTTTCAATTGCTGTAGCATTATGCTTAACTAAATTATACGCATCGTCGTAGCATTTTTTACATAAATTGATGATCTCACGATCCTTCTCTTCTTTCGTTGAGTTTGAACAATTTTCGATAACCCACGAGAAATTATCCGACATCATTTGTTGAGAAAACTGTAAAAATTGGTAAAAACTTATTAAAACATAAAAAATTTAACTAAAGAATTCGCAATTTGTTTCACTTTAGCGAAATCATCTTCTCCCAGTGAAGATGCTTCTTTGAGAAAGTAAACTTCAGATGCTTTTCCAGCCAAAAGAAGCGTTAACAACACTTCTTTTTCTTTTAATGTCCATATTGTCTTCTTTCCATGGTCTAGAAGAGTGTGCCCAAGAAAATTTCCCGAACGGACAATGGTTACCTTAATTGAATCAAAACTAATTAAAGGTCCGAAAATTCCGGCATAACCCCGACACTCCGTTTTAAATAAATAAAATGTAATTCGTAAGAGTAGTGCAGCCGATTCGAACGACATCGAAATTAGTTTCCGGATAACATATTAGCTTAGATATAGGTCCCCGAAACCCATAGGAGGTCAAAATGGGTGGATTAAATGGAAGTATTATTTATATAAAAACATATATATAGTTCTATATCCTCAGATATGATGTTTTTTTCTAATAATCTAAAAAACCTTCTTAACATGAGCTTTCAACAGATACGCACAATAGCAGTGCCCGGCCTCATGAATGGCCACTCGCTTCTTTTCTTCCTCAGTAAGTTCCTCAGGCTCGTCACTCAATTCAAAAACTATGCTGACAAGAAATGTATAACGATTGAATTTGTTGTTGCTACATCCGAAAATATTAAATATTGATGGCACGTCCATATTTTGCGTCATTTTTGCTATTAATAAGATTTAGAATATGTGTATGCAATGTCACCTTAAGATAAATGGGATTTTATGGGAAAAAATATGGAATAACAGAGAATCGGATCTATTGAATTTAATTGTTGACTATTACGACAAAGAATTTTTCGTAGCAATCTTTACGAGTGACTAAGCTAGACATTAAGCAAAATTTTAAAAATTTGAATAAAAATTAAAGTACGGGCCACTTTATCGCGAACGCAGCCATTTTGTCGCAATAAATCTAGTTGTCGTATGCACAGTGGTTTACTCAGTTGAAAAGAGGGCAAGCGTCGGAAGAAAAATATTGTGCGCTAGAGTATCTATCTGGCAAATTAGGCAACGCTTAAGAAAAAAAGAAGGTAAAAGGGTCAGCGGCGTGAAGAATTCAAAATGTTCAGTAGCAGGAAAAGAAAAGAGAAAAGTAAACATGGTCAGTGGAGAGAAATTTCTCTCATTTAGAAGGGGACTTAGGTAAATCCTATAACTTTTGGCCCTAGAATCAGATTTTTTCAAATTTTGTATTTTTGTAGTTCAAAAATTGTAAAATTTTGAAAGGCCAATATGCATTTTTGGATTTTTGCAGTTATGAATTTTTGAAAATCGGTAAAATTCAGAACTCAATCAATCTCAGCACGCAAATATTACACATAAAAGATTAAACGATTTTGAAACAATATAACAAAAATGATTATAAAAAAGTTTTATCAATCTTTTCATTTTTATTTTATTAAATCCGACTTAAAATTTTTCGTCAACAATTTAAAAACTTCTTGATCGGTATAGAAATCCACGTCTAAAAGAAGTAATATTGGGTAAGATCGAACTGAACACGTAGCAAATTGAAAAGAAAATTTATTCTTCTCCACTTCAGTTGCAGCATCTATCTTAAATAAAATATTTAAAACAAATTAACATTAAATTGCCCCAAATTCTAAAAACTCATAGAGCAAATAAGTATGTTTTCTTACAGAACCCAAAAATTCCTACAAAATCCAATCTATTAGTAATTTTTAAAGATTATTTACCACTTCATTCGCTGTAAATCTCAAAGCTTTCTTCCTCAAAATAAAATTATAATGAACAGTTGTAAACACCTTAAAAATAAAATTTTTTCTAAATTGGAAAATGAATATTTACCTTAATTTTCGGATTATAATATATATCGGCAACAAAACGTTTAGTTAAAAAATGCAACAAAAATGGTGTACAAGCAAAGAATAATAAAAAAGTATCAGTCAACACCATAAAAGCAGCTAAGCCAGGTCTTTCTGCCATTACTTCAACAAAGGAAGAGCTTATAATTGGAATAAAACAAAGGCCTGAAAAGTTGAAAAGTTAAATATTAAAATAATTTTAAAAATACCCAATGTAGAACTTCCAAGTGAGGCAATCTGAAAATTTGTGAATTTATTTATTTTGTTAATTTTATTGTTTGGGGAATTCTCTGGTATGAGGAAAATGCATTTTCAGCTAGTATATAAACAAAATTTTGGCATCCCCAAGAGCCTACGATTTTTTGGATAAGATCCCCTTTGGGTCTAAAAAAGCCATACAGTGTTATCGAAATTAGATTTATCAGACTGATAGGAAGAAATTGGAAGAAAAATCAGCATGGAAGGAATAACCCCCAATTTTCTATCCCCTTATTTCAAAAAATTTTAACCTTAGCAAACACAACAGTTTTTCTTAATTGTTTATTCGCATCTTGCTTTAAAAAAGAAAAACCCAAATCATCAGTAGAAATTGACTTGAAAGGCATTGGTTTATCATAAGAAGTAGAAGGCATTGAAGGTGATTTGGCAATACACATTTGACGGGATATTTGAAAAACAAAATTTTTATTAAATTTTTGAAAAAGGAATAAATTCATCTGAAAATAAAATAAATTTTACTATAAAGTTAAGAAAAGCAGTAAATTAAAAATAAATAATGTTGACAACAAAAACAATTTGATTTAAATATTTTTTAATTTAAAATTTTATTCATATAAAAAATAAAACAATGCATGCGGAAAACAGAGATTACAACCCTAAAAAGCGGCTTGGTGTTTTGAAGGGTTTTGGGGGCATGGTATTATGAAATATGGTATTATGAAACGTTCCGGATTGAGATTATCGAACGCGCAGAATAAGTCGAAGAGGAGGACAACCCTGAATATCGTAACCGTAGTCAAAGAAATCATTAAGTTTGCTGATATGTTCGGTAGTAAATTCATCAAGCACCAATTCCTGGTATTTCTCTCGTAATGCATAAATTTTGTCTTCGTCAGGATTGGCAAAATTAATTACCTAAATTTTTAAAAAATTAATTTTAGTTCAAATAAAAAATTAATACATGGTCAACAAATGAGCGTGCCGTTGAAAACAAAGTCGCCTGATACAACTTGAAAACTTGGGCAAAAAGAAAATTGGACACAAGAGTGCGACCAAAAGTATAAGAAGCTAATCAGATGGCAGTTGCAGCAACAGTTGAAGGCAAATAATGAGCCAGGCTATAACAAACAGAAGCTACTTCACAAATATATTTTGCAAATTGATAAGTCCGACTATCTGGCTCAACATAAAAGCGATAACGTCGAAGAAATTGTAAAGAATGTGGCGCTCCAAGATTAAAGTCCAATGCGCTCAAAATCTGAAAAAAAAGTTAAGGGACGAGAAATGGAAATTAAAATGAAATTTAAAAAATAAATCCCTGACAAGTTAAAATTTATAGACCCTGCTAGCCGATTAAAATCGTAATTATAGGCGAAATCAGAAATTTTTTTAAACCTGAGATATTTGGGTAATATTGAAGAGTATAGACCCCATTTTTTCCTCCCTATTTTCCCCCTATAATTTTACAAAATGGTTAGACTTTTCCTTCCATCCAATTTGCTTTTCTAATTTTTGCCTACAATCAAACAAAAATGGTTAGGTATTTAACAGGTATGAGTTTTGGGAAGACTCATTTTCTCTATTAAAACGGGAAATAAAATATCAAAAATAATCCTTTTTGTTTGATTGTAGGCAAGAATTAGAAAGGCAAATTGGATGGAAGGAGAAAAAGTCTGACCATTTTGTAAAAATATAGGGGGAAAAATAGGGAGGAAAAAATGGGGTCTATACTCTTCAATATAGCGATATTTGTCTTATCATGTTTTGTTAAAAACAAACTTATGCCAATAATGACCCTCAACTGTGTAAATTACAAAGGCGTATCCAGGGGTCGGTTTCGGGGGGACTCTAGCTCCCATGTATATGCCCTTAGTAAATTATCAAAAAATTTCCATTAAACATTTACAACCAATTATAAGGTCAAAAGAAAATAAAACCTTCATCTCCATTAAAAAAACATCCTCCTTATTGATAACAGCACCGACAACAATCACAAAATCCTGGACTCCTATCAATTGCAAATTCGCCTTAGTTATGGAACCATTCATTGCCAGTAGAGATCGATCCAATAAGTTGATAGACAGACTGAGAGTCTCATTGATTAGGGTGAAGCGACTTTGGAAATGATATTTATTTTTTAAAGTTAATATATAAATAAAAAGGATTACATGGTACAGCCAATCAACAAGAATTTGACGCATTCTGCCGTGAATCGGCGACTAGACATTCCTCAAAAAGTCTTCAGGCACAGCGTAAATAACTTCAAGGTGTCGCATATAATTGTCAATATCATCAGCACACTCAACAGATAACATCAGCTATAAAAGCAAAAAAGCGAACTGGCAATTTTTCAAACTTCTCACATTTTAAAAAATAAATAATAAAAATAATACTTAAAAACGGGACTGGAATTACACATACCAGTATAAATAATTTTTAGTGTCATAGGGTAAAATAAAACAATTTTATATCCAACAACATTCAAAAAGCAGAAACAAAAATAGCTTTTAAAATAATTTAAAGATATTCTTTTCGTAATTTGTTTTATCTTCGCATTTTACGAACCATCTCTTCCTCATAAATATTTTTGAGCATACTAAAATTTTAAAAATATTATTTTTAAATTTTTCTGAATTAAATATTTTCAATATTTATAAAATTACATTGTGAGGGCATCATCCTCAATTTCTTTACTTTTTAACAATTCATTGGACAACTAAATAGTATTTTTATATAAAGCAATTTATTGTTTTATACCTTTTCAATAGCAATAGAATTATTTTCGATTAAATTGCTTGCTTCTTCTCTACATTTATTGCATATTTCAATTAATTTTTTATCCCTATCTTCTTTGGTTAAATTAGGCAAATCAAGTGAATTTGCAATTTGTTTAAACTTGTCGAAATCATTTTCTGTTAATGATGATGGACTTTGAAAGAAAAAAATTTCAGACGCGCGACCAGACAATAAAATAGTCATCATCTTTTCTTTATAATCATTATCAAAAATTTTGTTCTTATGACAAATAAGTGTATGTCCAAGAAAATGTTTAGTAGGTATGATGGACACCTGAAATTTCATTAAAATTAATTTGTTTAGTTGGCTCCCCCATCTTTGACCAAAAACACATCTTGCCAAACTCATATCTGACCAACAAGGCTATAAACTCATTTCTAACCAACATCATATCTTACCAACCCCATATCTAACCAATAAGAGTATGAATCCACATCTGACCAATAAGGGTAATATCCGAAATCCCTGAATTTTTTCAAATTTACGGGGTTTATAATTATTTCCCACCGGCGCTGAAAATGGAAAGTGAGTACCCTTCCGAAAATCTCAAAATTCGCCAACAGAGTTGAAAAGTGATTTTCTACTAGGATCTTCAAAATTCTTAAAATTTTCGTCAGCGGCAACTCATGGATGGTAAATAAAAATTTTTCATTGGTAAAAATTGAAGGATTTTACCCTTTTGGTCTGATGTGTATTTGTTGTCTTATTGGTTAGATATGGGCTTGGTAAGATATGATCTTGGTCAGATATGATGTTGACCACATTTTTGAAAGCGACCAGCACGGAGTGTGTTTTTCGTGCGTTTCAGAACCTAAACAATTCAGGAAAAAATATGGATTTCCATATAATGTGCGCCTTAGTTATAAACCAGATAAAAAATTAGACAAAAAAGTAAAATAATGCTAGTCAGAAACCTTTTTAACATCAACATTTAGCAACAAAGCAGTGTAAACATGTGCCGATTCAAAAATGGCAACCTTTTTCTTTTCCTCATCGGTAAGTTGAACGATTGCAGATGGATCGTGTTGTACAATGTTGTCGATAATTTTTTGATTTGTTTTATCATTGCTGCTTCCAATATTTTGAATTTGTTGTTTGTTTGACATTTGAATGGTGAATATCTAGAAATTTTTTCAGATAAAATTAATAAACAAATGAAGAAAGGTTAAATTAATGAATAATAGATATAGTTTAACATAAACACAATTTTTTAGGGCAAATTAATAAAAATAAATTAGTATTTTTATTTACAGAAACAAAATTTAGACAAAAAATGTAATTTAAAAAATAATTCATAACAATTCTTATTCGGTTCAATAGTAATTAAGACGAGACCTCCTTAGTTAAATGGTGAACAAAAATAAAACCAAATAAGAATGCTAGTTCAGAAACAAGAGAACACACATGGGTGATTAAATTGTAATATATTTAATAATTTTTATCTAATTAGGCATGTCAGAAAAAAATTTAACTAAAGAATTCGCAATCTGTTTCACTTTAGCGAAATCATCTTCTCCCAGTGAAGATGCTTCTTTGAGAAAGTAAACTTCAGATGCTTTTCCAGCCAAAAGAGTTCAGATTCGGACTCAGCACAGTTCAGATTCGGACTCAGCACACTCGATTACCTACTGGCAAGCCTCAGAAATATCGAAGGAGCATTTTTTAATGATTTTTTTCTAGCAACCAATGATCTTAAGAATTACCAAAATTTCCTTAAAAACAACCAATTATAAGGACACAAAATAAAAACCTTCATCTCCATCAGAAAAACATCCTCCTTAGTGAAAACAGCACCGCAAGTCACAAAATTCTCAAGATTTGGACCCCTATCAACTGCAAATTCGCTTTAGTTATGGAACCATTCATTGCCAGTAGAGATCGATCCATCAAGTTGATAGCCAAGCTAAGAGTCTCAAAGAGCAGGGTGAAGCGACTTTGGACCTGATATTTATTTTTTAACGTTAACAAAAATAAAAAGGGATTACATGGTACAGCCAATCAGCAAGAATTTGACGCATTCTGCCGTGAATCGGCGACTTGATATTCCTCAAAAAGTCTTCAGGCACAGCGTAAATAACTTCAAGGTGTCGCATATAATTGTCAATATCCTCAGCAACCTCCAATGGTATCATAACATCACTCCCACCAAAACGTACATGCGAAGTGGCAAATTTTTCCAAGTCATCCTTTAAAATAAAATAATTAAAATTTAAAAAATAAGAGGTAAATGTTACTGGTTTTGAAGAAGTTTTATGTGTCAATTGTCGAACGTTTGGTTTCCTTTCAATTAATGCAGCGCGTCTTTGTCCTTTGGTTGTAAAGAATGAGGCGCCCAAGATTAAAGATCTGAAAAAAAAGTTAAGGGACCAGAAATGGAAAATTAATAAATAAATCCCTGACAAGCTAAAATTTATAGAGCCTACTTGCCGATTATAATCGTAATTATAGGCGAAATCGGAAATTTCTCTGAACCTGAGAGTGAGATAAAATTTATTTTTACCACGTTTTGTTAAATAGAACTATAGTATATACCCAGGCCAGTAGCCAGGGGGAAGAAAAATAAAGAAAATAAAAACCTTCATCTCCATTAGAAAAATATCCTCCTTATTGAAAACAGAACCAGCAACAATCACAAAGTCCTCAACATTTGGAACGGTTATTTCCTCAAATTTTGAAGAGATAAACAGACAAGTCACGCCTAGCAATTGCAAATTCGCCTTAGTTATGGAACCATTCATTGCCAGTAGAGATCGATCCATCAAGTTGATAGACAAGCTAAGAGTCTCATTGAGCAAGGTGAAGCGACTTTGGACCTGATGTTTATTTAAAAAGTTAAAATAAATAAAAAAGGATTACATGGTACAGCCAATCAGCAAGAATTTGACGCATTCTGCCGTGAATCGGCGACTTGATATTCCTCAAAAAGTCTACAGGCACAGCGTAAATAACTTCAAGGTGTCGCATATAATTGTCAATATCCTCAGCAACCTCCAATGGTATCATAACATCATAGACATCAAAGCTGGCAAATTTTCCAAACTATTCAAAATTTAAAAAATAAATAATAAAAAAAAGTACTTAAAACGGGACTGGAATGTCACATACCAGTATAAATAATTTTTACCGTGTCAAAATAAAACAATTTTATTTCCAACAGCATTCAAAAAAGAAAATCAAAAAATGTCTTTTAAAATAATTTAAAAATATTTTTTCGTAATTTATGTTTCATCTTCTCCTGGTACGCTCCATTTCTTCTTCATAAATATTCTGGAGCACACTAAAATTATAAAAACATTTTTTAAAATTCTTCTAAATTAAATATTTTCAATATTTATAAACTTACATTTTGAGGTCGTCATCTTTGATTTCTTTACTTTGTAACAATCTATTGGACAACTAAATAGTATTTTTTATATAAAGCAATTTATTGCTGTATACCTTTTCAATTGCTGTAGCATTATGCTTAACTAAATTATACGCATCGTCGTAGCATTTTTTACATAAATTGATGATTTCATGATCCTTTTCTTCTTTCGTCGAGTTTGAACAATTTTCGATAACCCACGAAAAATTATCCGACATCATTTGTTGAGAAAACTGTAAAAATTGGTAAAAACTTATTAAAACATAAAAAATTTAACTAAAGAATTCGCAATTTGTTTCACTTTAGCGAAATCATCTTCTCCCAGTGAAGATGCTTCTTTAAGAAAGTAAACTTCAGATGCTTTTCCAGCCAAAAGAAGCGTTAACAACACTTCTTTTTCTTTTAATGTCCATATTGTCTTCTTTCCATGGTCTAGAAGAGTGTGCCCAAGAAAATTTCCCGAACGGACAATGGTTACCTTAATTGAATCAAAACTAATTAAAGGTCCGAAAATTCCGGCATAACCCCGACACTCCGTTTTAAATAAAATGTCATTCGTAAGAGTAGTCGAGCTGAGTCGAACGACATCAAAATATTACTTAAATATAGGTCACCGAAAACCATATGGGCCTTTCTTTCGAATGAATTATCAGTTGTCGAATTGCTGCCAACCGAAAAACAGCTCAGTACTATTTTTGTGTCTTTATACTATTTTTGCGTCTTTACGACAACCCTTATGGTTTCTTCATTTAAGGGATTTATATCTTGGCCCATATGTCCAGCAACTAATTTTGGTGTCGTCCGACCCAGTCAAAGTTCCGACCCAGTCTAAGTTTTTTCTAAAAATTTAAAAAACCTTTTTAACGGAAGCTTTCAACAGATACGCACAGTAGCAGTGCCCGGCCTCATGAATGGCCACTCGTCTCTTCTCCTCCTCAGTAAGTTCCTCAGGCTCGTCGCTTAATTCGAAAACTATGCTGACAAGAAAAGTATAACGGTTGAATTTATTGTTGCTACACCCAAAAATATTAAATATTGATGGCACGTCCATATTTTGCGTCATTTTTACTATTAATAAGATTTAGAATATGTGTATGCAATGTCACCTTATAGATAAATGGGATTTTATGGGAAAAAATATGGAATAACAGAGAATCGGATCTGTTGAATTTAATTGTTGACTTTTCGACAAAGAATTTTTCGTAGCAATCTTTACTAAGCTAGACATTAAGCAAAATTTTAAAAATTCGAATACAAAATTAGGGTACGGGCCACTTTATCGCGAACGCAGCCATTTTGTCGCAATAAATCTAGTCGTATCAGAAGAAAAATATTTGTGCGCTAGATATCTATCCGGCAAGTTAGGCAACGCTGAGAAAAGAAGAGAGAAGGGAAAAGGGTCAGTAGCGTAAAAAATTCAAAATGGTCAGTCACAGGAAAAGAAAAGAGAAAAGTAAAAATGGTCAGATGGAGAGAAATTCCTCTCATTTAGAAGGGGAATTAGGTAAATCCTATATCAATTAAAAATAATTTTTTGCGTGAATCTCAGCACGCAAATATTACACATAAAAGATTAAACGATTTTGAAACAATATAACAAAAATGATTATAAAAAAGTTTTATCAATCTTTTCATTTTTATTTTATTAAATCCGACTTAAAATTTTTCGTCAACAATTTAAAAACTTCTTGATCGGTATAGAAATCCACGTCTAAATGAAGCAATATTGGGTAAGATCGAACTGAACACGTAGCAAATTGAAAAGAAAATTTGTTCTTCTCCACTTCAGTTGCAGCGTCAACCTTAAATATTAAAAGAAAAATTATAAAAATCCAAAACGGTCAGGTCCCTCACAAAACAAAAAATCACTTAAAACTAATCTAATGTCATATTTAAAAATAAATATTTACCACTTCATCCGCTGTAAATCTCAAAGCTTTCCTCCTCAAAATAAAATTGTAATGAACAGTTGTAAACACCTTAAAAATAAACTTTCAAAATTAAAAATAGATTTTTTCTTACCTTAGTTTTTGGATTATAATATATATCGGCAACAAAACGCTTAGTTAAAAAATGCAGCAAAAATGGTGTACAAGCAAAGAATAATAAAAAAGTATCAGTCAACACCATAAAAGCAGCTAAGCCAGGTCTTTCTGCCATTACTTCAACAAAAGAGGAACTTATAATTGGAATAAAACAAAGGCCTGGAAAGTTGGAAAGTTAAATATTAAAATAATTTTAAAAATACCCAATGTAGAGCTTGCAAGTGAGGCAAACTGAAATTTTGTGAATGATTTATTTCTTTTGTTAATCTTATTGTTTGGGGAATTTTCTGGTATGAGGAAAACGCATTTTCAGTTAGTATATAGACAAAATATTAGGATCTCCAAGAACTTACGCTTTTTTGGATAAGATCCCTTACCTAAGGCCTATAAACCAGGCATGGTCATGGATACGGATAATATCCGGATACCCGAGGATATCCGCGGATACGGACGGATTTGGATAATGTTTTTTAAATTGGACGGATACGGATGGATATGAATATGATGCTCCAAATCCGCGGATGGATATGACTCAAAAGTTGGAAGGATACAAACGGATATTGACCCCACGGATATATCCGGATAGCAAAATCAGTATCCATGTCCTAGTCTGCTATAAAGATGGAAATAGAAAATTTAGCATGGAAGGAACAATCCCCAATTTTCCATCACCTTATTTCAAAAAATTTTAACCTTAGCAAACAACACAGTTTTTCTTAATTGTTTATTTGCATCTTGGTTTAAAAAAGAAAACCCCAAATCATCAGTAGAAATTGACTTGAAAGGTATTGGTTTATCATAAGAAGTAGAAGGCATTGAAGTTGATTTGGCAATACACATTTGACGAGATATTTGAAAAACAAAATTTTTATTAAATTTTTGAAAAAGAAATAAATTCATCTGAAAATAAAATAAATTTTATAAAGTTAGAAAAACAGTAAATAAAAAATAACTAATGTTGACAACAAAAACAATTTGATTTAAAATATTTTTTAATTTAAAATTTTATTCTTACAATAATGAAAATAAAACAATGCATGCGGAAAATCCAAAGAGATCACAACCCAAAAAAAGCTTTGGGTCTAAAAAGGCCATACATCAATATCGGAATTAGACCTATCAGACTGATCTCCAGAATATTTAACAAAGAAATATCCCTAAAGAACATACTAGTAACTACATCTAAAACTCCAATGAGTCTTGAAAGTTAAAAGGTTTTTTTTCAACTAATCGTTGTTAACGATAAATTAATGTATAACTAAAAAGTAAGTCTCCCTATAATTTAATAAAGCCAATACATAATATTGACACCTAGAAATTGGAAAATGGTCAATTTAATAAAAATTAATTTACGTGTTTATCCTTCAAATTAGTTTAAGAAAAATAAGTAAATAAAAGACGCAAAAATAAAACTGGAAAATGCATTATATTGAGAGTTATAGTGAGGGAAACATTAAAGTTTTCGTGTAAATTAAATGCGCAAAGATCAAACATTTAAGAAAGACCGAAGAGCATCACAGAGGTCAAAATGGGTGGATTAAATGGAGGTATTATTAATTAATCATATAAAAACCTCTCTATAGTTCTACATCCTTCCGTTTATTTCTCTAAAATCGCACGCGCAGAATAAGTCGAAGAGTTGGACAACCCTGAATATTCGTAACCATAGTCAAAGAAATCATTAAGTTTGCTGATATGTTCGGTCGTAAATTCATCAAGCACCAATTCCTGGTATTTCTCTCGTAATGCATAAATTTTGTCTTCGTCAGGATTGGCGAAATTAATTACCTAAATTTTTTAAAAATTATTTTAGTCCAAATAAAAATTAATACATGGTCAACAAATGAGCGTGCCGTTGAAAACAAAGTCGCCTGATCCAACTTGAAAACTTGGTCAAAAAGAAAATTGGACACAAGAGTGCGACCAAAAGTATAAGAAGCTAACCAGATGGCAGTTGCAGCCACAGTTGAAGGCAAATAATGAGCCAGGCTATAACAAACAGAAGCTACTTCACAAATATATTTTGCAAATTGATAAGTCCGACTATCTGGCTCAACATAAAAGCGATAACGACGAAGAAATTGTAAAGAATGTGGCGCTCCAAGATTAAAGTCCAATGCGCTCAAAATCTGAAAAAAATAGTTCAAGTACCAGAAATGGAAATTAAAATGAAATTTAAGAAATAAAGTCCTGACAAACTAAAATTTATAGACCCTGCTTGCCAATAATAATCGTAATTATAGACGGAATCAGAAATTTCTCTAAACCTGAGAGTGAGATAAGATTTGTTTTTACCACGTTTTGTTAAACAGAACTTTATACAAATAATGACCTCAACTGCGTAAATTACAAAGGCGTATCCAGTAGATCGGTTTCGGGAGAGGGGGGGGGGGGCTCTAGCTCCCCAGGATATGCCCTTAGTAAATAATCGAAAGTTGTTCATTAAACATTGACAACCTATTATAAGGTCAAAAGAAAAACCTTCATCTCCATGTGAAAAATATCCTCCTTATTGAAAACAGAACCAGCAACAATCACAAAGTCCTCAACATTTGGAACGGTTATTTCCTCAAATTTGGAAGAGATAAACAGACAAGTCACTCCCAGCAATTGCAAATTCGTTTTAGTTATGGAACCATTCATTGCCAGTAAAGACCGATCCATCAAGTTGATAGACAAGCTGAGAGTCTCATTGAGCAGAGTGAAGCGACTTTGGACCTGATATTTAATTTTTTAAAGTTAATATAAATAAAAAAGATTACATGGTACAGCCAATCAGCAAGAATTTGACGCATTCTGCCATGAATTGGCGACTTGATATTCCTCAAATAGTCTTCAGGCACAGCATAAATAACCTCAAGGTGTCGCATATAATTGTCAATATCCTCAGCAACCTCCACTGGTATCATAACATCACTCCCACCAAAACGTACATGCGAACTGGCAAATTTTTCCAAGTCATCCTTTAAAATAAAATAATTAAAATTTAAAAAATAAGATGTAAATGTTACTGGTTTTGAAGAAGTTTTATGTGTCAATTGTCGAACGTTTGGTTTCCTTTCAATTAATGCAGCGCGTCTTTGTCCTTTTGCAGCATTCCGTGCTTCCAAATTTTCTTTCCTTTGTGCGTCATTCTCGTCCACAGGCTGAATACCTCCAATCTTGAACATTTTCAGGTGATAATATGAAGAAATTTATTAAGGTTTATTAGGTCTAAATTTATAAAAAAGAACTTTATAAAGCCAGAATTAAATATTTAAGGTCATAAAAATGAACCTTGGAATTTTTATGAATATATTTGAAAGTTAAATTTTTATTAAAGATAAAAGGTATACAAAACAATCACAAAATTTAAAAGAAAAGAGAAAAATTGGAATTTTTAAAGATCGATATAAAGCAGAAAATCGGATGCAAAAAAAGTAGAGAATTAAAATTGTTTAAGATATTTTGGAGTTATTTTTTCACGAATTTGTAAATTTTGCAAAATTAGCAAAGTTGTTAGTATTTGTTTCTCCTTCCTTTGATTTTGATAGAAAAGGATCATTGCCCATACTTTCAAATGGGCCAGTTCCGGATACATTGCTCGGCATAAAAGGATCACCTAATTAAAAAAAGAGTTCGTATTTTGTCATGTTTTAAAGTAACTGTTTTTAAAAGGATCCATAAAAGTATTTCCAGTAAGTGGTAACCCATTTGCAGCTGCCAAACTCTTTAAAAATTAAAATTATTTTTTAATAATAAAAGCGTTATTTTTACCTCCTTAAATGTTTTTTCTAGCAGTTCTTTAATGGAATTCTCATCATTTGCTTCTACTCCCTCAAGAATACGACGCATTTGTTCAATCTGTTCCTTAAGACGACCACTCTCAGTTTCTTGACAAGCCATTTTTCGCTCCAACTAAAAAAATAACCAAGCTAATAAGTAATTGGCAAAAATGTTTACTTGTGTTAATTCATCAACAAAAGCCACAAATTTCGTATTTTGTTGCTCTAAAGCTGTTTTGGCACCTACTAATCTCTCATTTCGTTTCTGTGCCTCAGCTCTTATTTGTTCGAGGACAATGTCTTCTTGGCCAGAATTCTCCCGGGCTTGCAGAATATCTGCTTTTGTTTTTTGCAGTCGAGATTCTTCTTCTTCTAAACGGTTCTGACTCTCACTACAGACAGTCTCTAACTTTGCCACACGTGTATCTAAATCGTTTAGCCGTTTGTTGGCCTCAACTCTCTGAACGCGTAATTGCTTAACAGTCGCTTCGAGAGTTAACTAAATTTTAGTTAATGAGAGTGGAATTGAACAGAAGTGGATTGTAAAGAAAATTTTAAAAATCATCAGAATCCCACAGCAAGTTGGCTACTTTTCTCTTATTTTTTAAAAGTTAGTTTAAAAAAGAACCAATTCAATTTCGAGGTTTTTCACTTCAGAATTCTTCACTTTCAGATCTGCCTCCGCCTGAAAGTATCAAACATAAAAGGTTAAATTAAGCATTTAAACCTGAAAAAGATCCTCTTCCGCTTTTCTTCTTTTCTGTTGCATACTTTCGATGGAAGCAGTTAATTCTTGAACTCGAGGGTTTTCTGGCATTAGAGGACGAATCCCTGAACCCTAAAAAATATATTCTACTAAATTCAGAGGAATGTTTATGACAAACTGAATTGGTTGAAATTTGTGAGTCTCTTCGTGTCAAAGCCATAGGTGGCGCCGGCGAAGCTATCGACATGCTTATCTTTGAAGTCAGCCCTTCTTGACATTCACGAATCAAAAGAATACATTTAGCGTACTGCTCAAGATCGAGACGACCAGTCTTTTGGACATCCACATGCGCCCAAATTCGTGCAAGATTAGCTTGTGATAGCCCAAATCTAAATGTTAAATTTTGACCCCTACACAAGAAACTAAACTTGCCTAAGAAAAGCATCGCGCACATCGTTCCCTCCAACAAATCCATCATGGTCCTTATCCAAATCAGAAAATTCCAATTCAAATTGGCTCAAATCCTCAACACGCCATTCCTCCATATTTCGTTCAAATAGAGATTTTGGTATATTATTTTTAGTTGTAGGTGGACTATGAGACGGTTGTTGTTGTATATTAAGAGATGCAACACTTGAAGCTCGGGAACTCCATGCTAGCGCTATAAAAATTGATTAATCAAGACTTAACAAAAAACGCTATGGTTTAAAATTAATTTTTAAATAAATTATTAACATACGAGGAGGATGTGTTGAGGGGAGATCATCTGACCGAGGACACATCTGACGTGATAACATTCGCTTTTCTGGTGGAACAAGCGCGAGTGGAAGTCTCTCAGGCAACGGATCATTTTGTAATGATCTGTAGACTAAATGAAGCGCCACACAAAATTCTGGTTTATCTAAAAATCCGTCGGCATCAATGTCAGCCAAATCCCAAATCTTCATAGTATAAAAATTAACAATATTTCCACATAAACCCGTACCTTTGCCAGTATTCCTTTAGGCAGTTGTGAGTTCAAAAGCACTGGTCGACATTGATTTCCACTTAAACGGCCATCAACAGGGCCAAGGCTGTTAAATATAGCCTCATATTTTTGCAGATCATTTAAGCCGATGGCCCAATTTTCTTCAGCTAAAGCAGATGTGGTACTCTGTTGTCGGGAAAGCAAATTATAACCAGATGCAATTTCGAATCGAGGAGGTTCAAGAGATCGATTACACAAAATTTCTTGTGAAATTTGAAAGCCTAGTGTAGAAGTAGCATAAATAAAATTTAATCAAAAATCTATCTGACCTTGTTGAACAGCAGCTACAAGCTTAAAAAATATTTTTATAGTAAATAAAAATATTTTTTCCAGTAGTCAATTGTTGTCCTATTACGTCTAGAGACCGGCGAAATCGAACTGGGATCCCGAGACGGGATTTTTTCTCTTAACCGATGCAGGTACGAAATCCATGAGGATAAATCCCGAAAAAAATCGCGGATCCCGGCAATGAAAAAAAATCCGGGATTTCGGGATCCCGGAAAATCCCGCCCCGCGCCGGTCTCTAATTACAACCCTAATTTAGGCAATAAATCTTTTGGTAAGATTTGTAGAGGTGCAAAAATGTATTTGAATTTTAAACAAAATATACTGACCTTAAAACACATAAAAATGCCCAATTTGTTCAGAAATCCACGATTTACAAAGCCACTCGATTCACAAGCTGTTTCCCAAATCTAATCTAATGTTAAAAAAATAAACATGTGATCGAATTAAAACCTGGGAAAGCTGCGCCGTATTAACGTCTTTAGCAGTTCTTAAAAAAGCGGCAATGCTGGCTGAATCGATTTCATCTTTGCCCAGTGGATTCAACTGAAAATTAAGGAAAATAATAGGTAAGTAAGAAGCAAATTGCCCTTTACAATTAAATTACAGAAATGTCTAGAAATAAAATATAGATTTTTTAAAAACCTTGGAAAATAAATCTTCATAAAGTGCTTGATGAGGATTAGAAATATTCTCTGGATTCTGCATAAGTGTTGGTAGAGAAGTAACGTAAAGTGGGTTATTCCAATAAATCCTGAGTAAATAAATTTTTAAAACAAAAGTCAAATAAAAATTTTTTGGAATTAATGAAAAAACTAAAAAAACACATTTCGCCATTTGTAAATTTGACAATTCGACACTTTCTTGCGGACTTTTTACTTGCGGATTTTTCACTTGCGGATATACCGTATTCCCTTGCCTTAACAATCCACATATGTATTTTTATTTGCTAAAATTTTTGATATCAAATTTAAAATGCAATCGTTGATTATAAAAAAAATTTTCCTTCAACTTTTACTTTCTTTAAATTTATTCCTAAAATACATTGGACATTGATTTTGGACTCTCGCATAAAGAAGTACATAATGGAATTCTTAAGACAACTCCAAATATTGCAATATTCTCACATTTGAATTATGTCAAGTGTTTTCTTTTCTCGATCCAACTCTCGATATTACCTCATCCATTTTAAAATATTAAATCGCATATTAATAAAATTACATAGCAAAAATTCCTTTTCATAAACTTTTTTCATTCTAAAATGCATTACCGATTTATTGCCTATTTTATTGTCAGTTACATTGATCATTAACATTAAATTAACGATACACCTTAAAAAGAATGCCTACATTCGATTTTTATTTTATGGGCTTTTTTGCCCTTTTTTCATTACTAATTCTTCCAGTGTTGGCATATTTTGGACAAACATCAGGATTTGTTTACAGATGTCCTATCACTGTAGCACCGACGATTTACATACCTCCTTATGGAATCAATTAGTATGGTTATTATTCAACTAAATCTCTATTTATGTATTTAACGAACTCAAAAGGAAGTTCGTTGTATCGAGAGATTTATAACATAAATAAGATTAATTTAAAAAATTCACGTCAAAACTTTAAAGTAGAATATGTCCAAGTCGAGCGAGTTCGAGTTTTTTTTTACTCGATCGCTCTGGTTTTTTTCGACTTTACTCGGGCTCGGAACTCGGGATCCTAGTACTCTCTCGAACTCGGTTTTTCCCCAATTACTCGGTACTCGATATTTCAAAACATAAATTTTGCAGTTGCGGAACTGGTTCATTATTTCATTACTACATTTGTTGTGATTACAATCCGACAGAGTGCTGTCTTCAGTTGGAACCTTGGTTAATGTCAGTCTTTAATAACATTGGGTGGGGATATTGAATTTTTTCAACTTAAGGTTGGCTTTAATCATCCTGGGTTTACTTTCATTGTGTGGGTGTGTTGGGTGTTTATTATGCTTTATTGCACAGAGGAAATAAAAAAATTTTTGGAAGAAATTTTATCGAGAGTAAAAAGCCGAATTTAATTAGAACAAAGATTCTTAAGTTTTTGTATTTATTAATTTTTATTTCACAAGTTGAAAAATCGGGTGAAGGACTTAAATAAAAATGATTTGTGTTGAATGAATTTTTGAGAGAGTTTTTAGACGAATTCTCTTAAATAATCCAATGAAATTGTAGTAAATATAGGGCATTCTTTTATTCAATTAATTCTTACACATACATAAATGCATTTAATGTTTCTAAAATTCCTTTCAAATCCCCATTATAAATTTAATCAAATGAGAGACAAATTGACGATAATGCGGCAATTGGCCATTGTCTTTGTTTCCTTTTCCCTTTCAGCAGCTTTGCTGTTGGTATTTGTAGTACCTTTTTTGCATTATAAAATCCAAAATGTACATATTGTGGGGCATGAAGAATTGCAGTTGTGCAGGATAAGAATTTCAAATTTTTGGAAAGAAATAGGCAGAATTAAGGTGAAGTTTATTGAAAGATTAATTTTCAAAATTTTTTGATTATCAAAAATATTAACTGATTATTTTTGCCACATTTCCTCTAGATTTAATTAAATTTACTCAGTTGGGAAGCAACATAGGAAAACGCGAAGCAATCCAAATTTCGGAGGAAGCAGCAACCTGCTGTGCGTGTGGAATCGGCAGTATTGGTAATTAATTAGAAAAAATTTTTTTAATTGACGGATAAAAATGGGGATATCCAGTATAGTCATGATTTTCAATTTTATTTTTCGGCCGGAAAAAAAAATATCGGCCATAAAACTCACAGTTTTTATTCAAATTATGTAGGTACATTTTAAAGGAGTTCCTGGACTGCCCGGTGTGGATGGAAAGGATGGTCATGATGGATTGCCAGGACAACAAGAAAATCCGTCTCAGGATTTTTCAGTGCAAGTTAGCCTTAATCTTCCGCATAATTAACATTGCATTAATAAACAGGATTGGTGTTTTGTTTGCGACGAAGGTCCCCAAGGAGAGAGAGGACCACAAGGACCTAAAGGACTAAGAGGACGAGGTTTGCCTTCTCTGGTGATATGTAAAACGGTTATCATTTAAGAAAGAATAAATGGAACTCCAGGCAGTGATGGTATTCCTGGCATGCCAGGGCATGAGGGCATGAAAGGATTTCCTGGTGTGCCGGGTAAGTAAAATGAAAATAATCACTCATAAATTATTTTTATATTTTAGGAGTTACCGGAATAAAAGGCAAACAAGGCGAGAGAGGCATACTTCGCGATACTTTACCAATTCCTGGGCCTCCCGGATTACCTGGACCGCCAGGTATTTTTTGAATGGGAATTGTAATTAAATTTTTGTTTTTAAACCATAGGATTACCAGGCTAGTCTACTAAAGCTAAATGTAAAAATTTAATAAATCTAAAGGTGCGTCCGGACTGAATGGGGAAGATGGAAAACCTGGTGAAGACGGGCAACCCGGAGAAGGTAAAAATATGATAATTAATTCTCTGTTAAGAAGATTAATTTGGAAAATATTTTTAATTAATGTTAGTGATCAAAATCCTTAGTGGACAAATTCGAAAAATTCAAATTTATTTGTCCATTTTTATGGATGCGAATCTTTAAATTAATATTCCTCTAGCAAGCCTTAATATTTTTAGTTGGTGACACTGGATTGCCAGGAAAACCAGGGACTGACGGGGAACAAGGTCCTCGTGGAGAAGTCGGAATATCAGGAAAACTTGGCCGTTGTGACCATTGTCCGGTAGGGTTTTATGAAATAAAATAATTTAAATTGTCCCTATTGAGGTGCCAAGAACCGCTCCGGGCTATTAGAAGGAATTTACAACTAGAAAAAAATTACGATACTTTTTATGCATAATATACATGTTTTTAATCAAGATAATTGAGGATTAAATGAAAGACGATTACAGCTATATGTTGTGAGTAAATACTAATTCTCGGCGATTATTTATTTTTAAAAATAAAAACACAGAGCACGATGTTTACAAAATATACTTTTTTAAAATATCCATATTTAGGCAGTTAAAAATCGCAAAATTGCGAGCGGAAACTATCGAAATTTTTGACCATTAAAAATAGTAGAAAATGGCTGGATAATCAAAAAATAAATATTTGTTGTTTTTCTCATTACGTCTTTTTCGCTCTATCCGCTTCCAAAACCGTCCATCCCATTAATTTCTCAAAACAACCCCTCCCCCCCCCCCCCATTCATTCCCTCATACGTCCTTCATTCATCGCTTCGTTTTTTCCTTTTGCTAACTCAACCTTCTCTTTTACTTGCCTAGTCCCCCGATCAATTTTCAAATCTATCCCCCAATAAACCCCCCATCTACGATGACCATTTCATAGGAATGAATGTGTAAATAAGATGCGACAATTCTAATTATTTTTGCTAATGTTTGTTTTTATTGACATTTTTTATAACCTTATCTTCAAAAAATCTTTAAGAGTTCAGCTCACAATTAAATTTTAATTTATTCGAAATTTTTATCTAATGTCTCCAAACGATGCTTCTACAGTAAATAACGACTTCTGGGAAATCGGTAGTTGAATATTATTTAACATTTGGGATTAAGAAATTAATTCTATTAGGGAACTACAAGACAAATATTACACGGATCCACCAAGGATATGAACAACTAGAAGACATAACACGTTTCATTAAAGACCGGGTGGCAATAGAAGCTAGGCAAGTTTCAAGAATTCTTTAACTAGTTACCAACTATTTAGCCTAATTTTGGAGTACCGTATTTTCTCTCCTCGGGGGTTATTTTTTCGATCCCCCTTTAAAATTTTTCGATCCTCCTTTAGATCCCCCTTTTAAATCTTAGAGGTGGGGTAATTTTAGAGAAAATACGGTATTTTTGTTGTTGTTCTGATATTTCTCAAATTTTTAGTTACTCGAAACAATTGGAAAAATGGAATTCAGAGTGGAGCTCCTATGCTGAAAAGCATTTTAAGGAGACTTTATCTCTGAAAAAGTCATTTAATTTGATATTAGGAGAAGGAAAGGAATTAGCAAAAGTCCACTTTGGAATTAAAGAACGTTTCATTGATGAGGTGGGGTTTATATATCATTTGAGGCTTTACATAAATATACATATTGTATTTTCTTGAATAGTTACTTTGGGTAATAGCTTTCAACCCTTCGCTAATTAATAAAGTGAGGGTAATTAGAGGGGAAAAAGTTCGGGGGGAGGGGGGGTTAAAATTATTAAGAATTGGAAAACTCCAGGAAGGGTCTAAGAGCAATAAAATGGATGGGACCAAATCTCTCCATTTTTATCCTTTCAGATATTGAAGACCATAGAATTATTCAAACGAGACAATTATCACAAATCAAAATTACGAGGTTTTAAAGAAGCTAAAGAGGTTGAAGACGAATTCGAGAAAGCACAGAAGCAATGGAAGAAATTATTTGAGGGATTACAGACAGCCAAACGGAATTATCACTCCCTTTCACGTGCCGAAAAATCAGCCTATATTCAATATAGTATTTAAAATCTGTCAGAATTTATTCATAATTTCGCATTTTAGTGAATTCCAAAGCGGATCATTATGTCGCGGACTGCTCTAGTGAAAAGTGTAAGGAGCGTTTTGAAAAATTTCAAGAAGATAGGAAAAAGGCGAAAGGCATTTATGAACAACAATTGACAGATATCAAAGCATATATAGGGTGGTTAAGCTTCAAAAAAATATTTTTTAATACAGACATATTACAGAATTTATAAAGAGAATATGTCTTTTGTCTTTGAAAAGTGTCAGCGAATGGAAAGGAAACGGATTCGGTTTATGATAGAAATGTTTTCGGGAATACAAAAAATTATGGCGGATTTGATTAGCCCACAAAAGTAATTTTTACTTTAAATCAGAAAAATTTAAAGAAAAATAAAGGCTTTTACAATTACAAGACAAACTGAGGGAACACTTTACAGAATTAAACGACGCTTCCATTGAGCTTGATTTGCGACAATGGTCGATCTTGCACGGGATTGAATGTAATACAGTTTGGCCTGAATTTGAGGAATATTCTTCCGAATTTCGACAAATTCACAATCCAAGTTCGGGAAGTAGGAAACACCGTCAAAAGGAAGCAACAGGGGTTATGCTTACAAAAAAAGTGCCGTTGGGAGATGAGGAGCAAGCAACGAACGAAATAAGGAAAAGTAGGAATGGGGAATTAAAACATCCAAGATGCAATTCTGAACCGAGATGTCATCACAATTTAACTGCTAATGTGGTCGATCCAGAAAAGTCTTCACTTCCTGGTCCAGATAAATCTCTTTTCCTCGATAATGACTTGAAGAATGGAGGCAGAAAAGAAGTAAATAATAGGGTTGTTCCCCGACGTGGGGAGGGGGAGGGCCACGGGAGAACTTTTAGGAAGACAGCGCCACGGGGGGGGGGGGGCGGGGACGGGGAGAATTTTTTTAATTTTTTCACGGGGGGGGGGGGGGGGGGTGGACGGGGAATTTTCAAAAAATCTCTCAAATTCCCCGACTTTCGGGGACAGGGAACAACCCTAGTAAATAATTAGTGAAAAGAATTATTTTTTTCCTCCATTTTTAGCCTTTTAATTCGCTGGAATCGAGAAGTGAAGAATCCTCAAGATGTGTTAATCGTTCAACAAGTGTAAATCCTTCAATTAAGCACCAACAACTTCAATATACAAGTGAAATTCGGCATGAAATAAACAAATCTGCAGAGGAACCGTCTTCTTTAAAGGGAAACTCCCCATGTTCTACATCTTCGATTCCAGTCGACCCCTTGCCCCTAAGGAGTGGTAGCGACGTTAATATTTGTGGTAGACTGATAATTAAAGGGAAAAATTTAAGAATATTTAGGTGTGGAAAGAAAGTATTCTGTTGAATACAAAACATCAGCAGAGAGTGTTGAACAATCACATTTGCAATTACCTACTGGACCAGCAAAAGTCATTTACAATTTCGATCCAAATGAGCCAGACGAATTACCCTTAGTTTTAGGTTATCAAAAACTTCTCAAAACCCCCCCTTTCTAATATTTAAAGGTGAGATAATAGAAGTGCTTTCGGGTCCAGATAGTCTTGGATGGTGCCTGGGTGTAAAACAAAACAAGGAAAGAGGTATTGGAGAATGTACTAAATTAGACTTCAAATTCATTATAGGCCTCTTCCCGGCAACCTATGTCTCTCCACAAATTCAGATGGAGAAGCATATACAGTTTAAATGAAGCATATTTGGAAGACAATGGCCATTTTATAACAATGAAATTGAGAGATTTATAAATTTTATTATTTTTTCTTCACTATAACATTTAAAATTGTCTGCAGATAAAAATACATAATCAGTATAGCACGATTTAAAGAATGTTTAACACGTACATACTTATCATTTATTCAATAAAAATTTGTTTACTTTCATAAATTTGAAGCATAAAAGAATTTATTTTTGGGACGTGAGACTTTAAACGTCCTTCTCCTTGATAAAGTTCAAATTTTCTTTGTTTGCCCAGGTCGTTAGAGTCTTGGTTCAGGGGTCAATGATTTAATCTCGGTTTAATTTTAGATCTGGGATAAGGCGTCCTCTGGCTTCAAATTTGTTAAAATTTGGGACACACCCAAAACGGCGCGATGCCATAACGGCGCAAAGCCTTAACTTGCTTTAAGATTTAGGAATCTTCCAAATTTAGCATCAAACGATTCCTCTCATCTAGAGCTAGGAACGGGTCCGGGACCCGGACCCGTTTCCCGGTTTCCGGGTCCCTTTTCCCGGTTTTTTTGAAGCAACCGGGTTGAAACCGGGAACGGGTTTTCCCGGTTTCCCGGACCCGGTTCCCGCCCGGTCCATTTTTCAAAACCCGTTACCCGGACCCGGTCCCGGATTTTTTTTCACCGGAAAACCGGGAAAAATATTTAGTGTATTTGCGTACTTTGATATTAAATTTTTGAAGGAAAAGGGAAAGGAATATTTATAATTTCTCCATTTTGCTTTTGTCGGTCGATGGTTGAGTGGTTAAGTTGACTGACTTCACTCATCTAGTTATTTTGATAGGGATGGGGTTCGAGTCCATGTATGGAAATGGGGCTGAGAAAATTTTCTTTTCAAAAATAAATAATTTTAAACTTTGATTTTAAATTTGAAAATTTTTTTACTGTTTTAATCTTGAAAAAATCTTAGAAATTTCAATTAAATCATGAATTTTCCAAGATTTTCACTGTGGCGCAGAAAATTTAAGAGTTCTGGCTTCATTACCATCTAAACTTCGAAAAATTTTTTCGCCGGCAGCTCTGACAATTGAATTCTTTTCTGCTAAGGCCTATCAAATACGGCGCAAAAAATGGCGCGAAGAATTTTTAGTTCAATAAGATTAAAAAGAATTAAAAGGGATATCTAAGGATTCTGAAGGAATTAAAAGGAACTAACATTCTGAAGGAACTAACACATAACAACCACTCGGCCAACATATAAGGGCTTTAGAAAGAATTTAAACATATGTAGTACATATTTCTTTGAATTTTTTCATTAATCCCAAGTACGAAAGAACAAAAGGCAGCAGTCGATGAACGTATTTTTCAGAAAAGGGAATTCGATCTTGAGTTAAATAATCGTGAATGGCATTCACTTACATTAATAGAGGTTATTTAGAATAAGTATAGGAGAATAGATGAAAAATACAGCCCTATGTGGAAAAATAGACCCCTATTTCAACAAATTAAAAATTTCCCGGTTTCCCGGCCGGGACCCGGTCATTTTTGACCGGGTTGAAACCGGGAACGGGTTTTCCCGGTTTCCCGGACCCGGTTCCCGCCCGGTCCATTTTTCAGAACCCGTTTCCCGGACCCGGTCCCGGTTTTTTCAAAATTCCTAGCTCTACTCTCATCGAGATAGGGATCCAGCTAGCTCCAGCTAGCTATGACTTTGCGCCGTTATGGCAGCGCGCCGTTTTGGGTTTATATTAATTTTGTTTTTAGTCTTTTCCCATTTTTCTTTTATCTAACAAAATTTCAGAATTACAGATTCAATTATAATGAAGATTTTCTTGACGCATTCACTCATTCAATTTATAATTTCATTAAGTTTTGTATTAATTTGTGTTGCCGTAGATAGAAGCAATTTTAAAACTTGTGAACATGCTGCATTTTGCAAGTTTGTGTTTAAATTATTAAATTAGAAATTAAATTAATTAAATATTTTTGTAGACGTCACAGGGCAAAAGCCAACAATCCAGTTTACAATATACAACCAGATTCAATCAAAGCAAATGATTCGGCTGTTGAGGCTGTTCTCGAAAGTTCTGTGAATAAACTTAAATTAATTCTGGCGCTACTTGAGGATGGGAAAGTTCGGATGGTTATTGATGAGATCGATCCAATTCGACAACGTTTCCACCCGACTATAGCATTGGATGGGGAGCCTAAACAACAAAAGTAAATTTAAAAAATTTGTTAGATCCCGGCTGTTTAATTTTTTAGATTAATTTTCCTGGACTAGATCCTTTGCTTAAAAGCTAAAACTTAAAAAATTCGAATTCGGAGTTAAAGCCTTTATTTAAATTTAATCGAAATAGAAAAAAGATATAATTTTGGGGGAATTGTATCAATTTAAATGAGAAGATTACATCAATGTCATGGGTTCAGAAAAAAACTGTTAAATTCTAGAAACAATTTAAATTTATTCAAAGATAAGACATGGAGACAAAAGGGCAATTTTGGAATTAAGGAATGAAAAATTAGAGAAAGATGAAGAAAACAAATTTTTCTAAGTTATTTTTACATGTAGATCCCTCCATGCCTTAAGAAAAATTTGTAATTTTGTTGGCTAATTTTATTTTTAAGATTTTCTAATTTTGAACATTCTGGCACTTCTGCATCTTTTATTGCTAATTTTGGAGAAAAGAATAGCTATAAAATTGTCGTTGAATATACTCCTTTTCGTGTCAATATTTTCACTGATGACAAGCTTATATTATCTGTAAATTCAAGACAACTCTTAAAATTTGAGCATTATCGGAATAAAGTTGGAGACGGTGCCGAAGACGGGGAAGGATTTTGGGAGGAGACTTTTAAAGGGCATACAGACACAAAACCTTTTGGATCAAGTTCTATTGGATTGGACGTTTCTTTTATTGGATATAAATTTCTTTATGGCCTCCCCGAACATTCAGAATCATTTACACTTAAATCGACAACGTAATTTTAACTTATTTATTTTTAATTTTTATTACTTTAAAAGGTATACTGACCCATATCGCCTCTATAATTTGGACGTTTTTGAGTATGAACTTGAAAACGGGATGGCTCTATATGGAAGTATACCCTTTGCTATTGCTCATGGCAAAGCAAGAACAGCTGGTGTTCTTTGGCTGAATGCTGCTGAAACTTGGGTAGACGTTAATCTTGCTACGGATAAAGTTTTATTTTTCGTTAAATTTTTTAAAATTTATTTTTCATTTAAGGGTTTCTTTTGTTTGTTTTTGTCTAAAATATTTGTTAAATTAAAGAACAAATTGATGTACATTTTATTTCTGAGACTGGTGTTCTTGATTTATTCCTCATGCTTGGACCTAGACCAAAAGATGTATTCCGTCAAAATGCTCAATTAACTGGAGTTTTTCCACTTCCACCAGTATATTTTTTTAAATTATTCAAAATTTCCGTTAAAAATTTCCCCAGCTTTTTGCAATTGCTTATCACCAATGCCGATGGAATTATAATGACAGGGCAGACTTGCTTGGTGTACATTCTTCCTTTGACGAACATGACATTCCTCTAGATGTTCTCTGGCTTGATATTGAACACACTGACGCAAAAAAATATTTTACTTGGGATCCAGTCAAGTTTAGCAATTCTCTTGAAATGATTAAAGAGTTGGAAGCTAAGGTTTTTTAAAAATTATGTTGTAATTATTTTTTAATTTAAGAATCGCACTTTGGTCACAGTAATTGATCCGCATATAAAAATTGATGATGGTTATTTTGTTTACAATGAGGCAAAAGCCAACAATTTTTTTGTCAAAAAATCTGACGGTACTTCTGATTATGAAGGTCATTGTTGGCCTGGCGCGTCAATGTGGCTTGATTTTGTAAATCCTTCGGTTCGCGAATTTTGGGCTGGAAAATTTCCTGTTGATCAATATCAAGGAACTACAGAAAGAGTATATTCTAAGTTAAATCAGTAAATTTTTCATATTTTTTAGACATATACTTGGAACGATATGAACGAGCCGAGTGTTTTTAGTGGACCCGAAATTACAATGCACAAGGATGCTCGTCATTTTGATGGTTTGGAACATCGAGAAGTTCACAACATTTATGGATTTTTTCAAGTAATTTAAACTTTGTTGTGATTTTTTCCCTTTATTTTGGAATAGGAAAATTTTTTTCGGTGATTCACATTCATCAAACCTATCTGATTACTAGTCAATATTTAAATTGCAAAAATATTTTAGTCAATGGCAACATTTAACGGTCAACTGCTTCGATCCAACAGGCGCCTCCGCACCTTTCTTCTTGTCCGATCATTTTTTGTAGGCAGCCAACGATATGCTACTGTTTGGACTGGCGATAATTTTGCTGAATGGTCACACTTGAAACAGTCAATTCCAATGCTTCTTTCCATTTCTGTTTCTGGCATTCCTTCAGTTGGGGCTGATGTTGGAGGCTTCTTCAAAGATCCTGATGGACAATTGATTACTCGTTGGTATCAAGCTGGAGCCTTTCAGCCATTCTTCAGGGTGAGTGTTTTTGTAAATCTCTGATAATTCTTTACTTACTAAGGCTCACGGACATATTGAGACTAAAAGAAGAGAACCTTGGTTGTTTTCAGAACGTGAGAACAATGCTTTACGCGAGGCTGTTATCAGGCGTTATATTCTTCTTCCTTACTGGTTTTTATTTAATATAAAAATATTTTTATAATAATTTCAGGTATACTCTGTTTTACGAGCATACGAAAACAGGCGTTCCTCCAATGCGTCCAGTTTGGTCAGAATTTCCAGAGGACGAGGCTGCTTTTGATGAGGAACGTGAATGGATGGTTGGCTCAGGAATTCTTGTACGCCCTGTCGTTGAACCAGATGTTCAACATGTTTCGCTTTACTTACCCGGAATTGGTCAAACTTGGTAAAATATTTTGAAATTGATTAATTGATAATTTTTTATTTGAGGTTTGATTGGGACACGCATAAAATGTATCTTTCACCTGGCGCCATTTATACTGATACTCCACTTGAAAAGATTCCTGTTTACCAACGAGGAGGCACTATAATACCTGTATGAATTTCTTGTAAAACCTTTTAATTTTATTCCCTTTAAGGTTCGGGAACGTCAACGCCGTGCTTCTATGCTTCAACGTAATGACCCAATAACCTTATATATTGCCTCTGAATTGGATAGAGAATTTGCAAATGGTACAATTTACATGGATGATGGGGAATCACATAACTATAAGGACAAAAATGAATATTTATATTGGGTATATTTTCTCTAAAATGTTTTTATTTTGAAATTTTTAAGGGTTTTGTTTACAAAAAGGCGAGTGAATACAATTATGCAATAATGTCAAAAAATTTGGATAAAAATGGCAAATTTGATCCCGATGTGTGGGTTGAACGTATTATCATTCGTGGTGTTCGTTACTACCCTAGAGCAGTTCACATGTATTACGAAGGTTTGAGTTTTATTTTAGCCATTTTCCAGGGTTGAATGGGTGAAATTTGAATTTCCAGAGGAGTTGACTATCCAAGGGACCTACTTCTTACCTTTACCGGGCTGGGCGCATAGTCGGGGCTGAACGTTTACCTCTCTTTTGAAAGAATATTTTTAAGTTTTATAGTTTCAGATTATAACCCTGAAGATTTGGAATACACACATGACCGTGACCAACGTTTAATTGTTATTCGAAAACCGGGCGTTTACATCTCGCGTGAATGGCGAATCGATATTCATGTTTAAAAAAGGGCTGATATTTGTGATTTAATTGTAATCCTACTCAATATTTTTTCTATTTTTTTCTTCTTAATTTATATATTGACTGCAACTGAGATTGTCCACTTAATTCTTGAAAAATAGGAGCAACTTTAATTAATTAATAATTTATATAAACGTGCATGGGTATTTTGTTATTATTTTTCTTCTTTGTATTTTTCTAAATAAAATGTTTCTGATTTTTGTAAAGCTTTTGATCTTTTGTTTTCACAATTAAATACTTTTTTTAAATATTTTTATAGAATTTTATTTTTTTAAAGATTTCTTCGAAGGTTCTTAAATTTTTTGAGTAAAATTTATTTTTGGACAAATTTAAATGTGGAGATTAACTGAAGAAGAAAGAAAAATATTTCGGAAAATAATACCTACTGACTTTCCAACTGACCAAACTCGAATTTACTTTGATGAAACGAAAACAAATGGATCTAGTATTTATGAATTAATTAATGTTTGTTTTTATTAGGAAAAGATTTTTTAAATTAATTTTTTAGCGTGATGGAATTAGCAGTTCTGAAGTAGAAGCAATTTATAAAGCTCTTCCTTCGGATACAGAATTTTACAAATTTGTTGATTATTTAAAGCCTCAACAATTTCCTCAGCCTGAACTGACTGAGGAACAAAAAGAAGCTAAAAGAGAATATAAGGAAAGAATTGAAAGGCTAAGAAATCAACAGGTTAATTTTAGTGATTAATTTAATTAAAATAATTTTTTGGGGTTTAGGTGCTAAAAAATAGAGTTCAAGTAGCCCACCCTAAAAATTTTTCCTGATTACTTGTCTGTTTTAGTTGATATAGTTTTTGGGGTTGGGGGCCCGGTTCGGTTCGAAAGATCGAAACGGGCCTCGAATTTTGGCCCGAAAAAGACTGACGGCCCTGTTCGATAAAAATGAAGCCCGGAAAAGACTCGACCGGTCCGGCCCGAAACAAATGACTCGAACGTCGGCCCGGTTCGGAAAATCCAACCCTAATAGTTTTAATCAAAATTTGAAGTATTAACAAAAAAATTCTTAAAAAAATTTTTTAAAGGCAAATATGGAATATAACAATATGATTCGTTCAATCGATCAAACACGCTCTAATTCATTGCTTCAAAATTTTGGACAAGAAATGCGTGAAGTGAATAGACAAATGGTTGCAATTATTAATACTTTGATAACTGTTGGTTAGTTAATTTATTGTCCAAAATTTTTGAAAAAAATAAAAAAATTTAAGGAGGTTCTTTTGCCTTTGGTTTTTGGGGTGTACAATTTGCCTATCCCCATTTGGGTTTGGACATTGCAGAAAGGATGTTGTTAGGATTAGTTTGTGCAACTATTGTGTTCTTTGCAGATCTCTATTTTATAGTCAAAAGTATGTCTGATGACGAGATTGAAGAGAAGAATAAAACAAAGAAAAAATGGGTGGAAAGTAGTAATATAACTTTACAGAAAAAATGTCAATAAAAAATTTCTTTTAATTAGAAAAAAAATAAATAGAAAAATTCTTTTAGAATTTTATTTAAAAATTGAAAGTTGAAAAGAATATTTTTAAAAATCTGGAAAAATTTTTTTAAATTTAAAAATGGCAAAAAATGAAAGAATTTAATACAAAGATATCCCAACAAGTATTACGCCAACTGAGCCAGCAATTATTGCTGCAAAAAGAAATGACATTTGCATTTTTCCCTTTATGCTTTTAAATATTAAAACATCTGCTAATGCTCCTATTATTGCTGGAAGCTGAAAAATTGAATCAAAAAATTTTAAATTAAGAATATTCCATTAAGTCATACCCTCTATCGGATGATACCAAAAAATACTTAAAATTCACGGTAACATTGAACGATGGTCCCTTGTCAGTCAGTGTCCCATATACTCCCATTCACGTTTGTAGTCCTAAACTATTGTTCTTCCCTTTATGATTGTCTCGCTCTCAATTAAATTTATTGGAAAACGAGGATAACTTAAAAGACCCTTCTTTGTCATCTAAAAATTGAGGAATTCATTCTCCAGATAAAAGGGAGGATTTTAATTTTAGGAAGTAGTTCAAATAAGAATCCTTTTTACTTACTCGAACAGTAATTGGAAAGCTAACAGTTTGTGAGAGTAATTTATTCGAAACAATAAATAAAGTCATTCCAATTGACCAAAGAATTCCATAAGCAATTGATGGAAGTACTAAATTAGATTGGACATAAGGCTTTCCTTTAAGTATTAAAGTGTAAATAATAAAATAAAAGGTTGAAAAGAAGAAAACTGCCGAAAAATGTGAAAAGACGTAATCGAGAACTGAAAAAAAGAAAATTAAATCTCAAAAATATTTTTTTATTTTAATACCATTTTTCGATGCCAAAGGGTCTGTGTCTTGGACATAAACAATAGGGGTTAACATTAAACCGTGAAGAGAGCCTAAACAGACTGCTAATCCAATAAAGCTAGAAAATGAGAAAAATTGAGGAAAAGGAAGAAAATGCTTGAGTACTTCCTAACCCCTTATAACTTGAATTTTTCGTGACGAGATTTGGATAATATTTTAAGGGGAAAAGGGTTACCTAATAATTAAACTCACAATAATTTTCTTTTTGTTAAACGAGGAGTTACAGCTCTTTTTATTTCTGACTGTTCAATTCTAGGCAAATTTTCTAAAGTTGTGGAAACATTATTTCCGTTATCTTGTTCTGATTCTACTGCCCAAACATTGTGGACTGTTCCATAAGTGGAAGGTGCTCTGAAAGGAATTTTTTTTGAAAATTTTTCAAATTTTTTCACCTTTCACTTCTATAAGCAATTCTATTATTATCATAATCTTTTTCAATTTGGCTAAGTTTTTTGTCCCTTTCATTTCGACTATATACAAAAACAAACATTATTCCACTGAAAAAGTCGGAATAATTTAAAATTTAAATTACTTGTCTACCTAAATAAAGTAATTAAAACGCCCAAATAATTTAATAATGGATTTTGAACATTTTGGGGTTTTGTACCGAAAAGGCCAAAATGAGCAACACACCAACCTACTATTATCTAAAAATTTTTGTTAAAATTTTTGGGGAATTTTTTGGGAAAAATTTTCAAAAAATTTTCAAAAAAATTTTTGTGGTGAAATTTATAAAAAATTTTGTCTGAAAAAATTTTTTGGGAAAATGTCAAAATTTTTTTTAAAAATTTTCAAAAAATTTTTTCTCAAAAAATTTTTTGAACTAGAAAACCACCTGAACAGACCCCCAAATAAGCATTCCTAAACCAATTCCCATTTCAGCAACTATAGGTACTGAAGCAACATTACCTTCAAAATAATTAAAATATTTTCTCTCTCTCATAATTTTTTTTCAAAAACCAGTAGCATAAAGAAATCCTCCAATAGAAGCAATTAAATTAAATTGGGGTAATCCTCTAATAACATTAATTATTAATCCAAACATAAAAACAACAGAACATTGAATCCATTGAACAAAAACGCCGTCTTTAGAATCTAATCTTTTTAATGGGGCAAACATAAAACCAAAAGCAGCACACGATACAAAAAGGGAAGCATAACCTATTGCTAATTCTGAACCTGTTGAAGTACTCATTCTTTCTTTGCCTTGAAAATTTTTTTTTAATTTTATGTTTGAGAAGTGATTTATGTAAAAATAAAAATTATGAACTCTCGTTAGTAGCGACTTTTTTAATTTTAAGAATTGAATATTCAATATTTACTCAAATATTACCGTATTTTCTCGATTAATTTCCCTGGGGAATTATTTTTTCAACCCTTCCTTGGCATGGGGAATTAATCGAGGGAGGGGAATTAATCGAGAAAATACGGTACTCTCTCCACCTCTCGCTAGAGAGGTAATTAATTGAGTGGGGCAATTATTTAAGAGAAATTTTAAAATTATTCGTAATCATTCGAGTATATACGGTAGGCGACTTATTTATTTTTATATTAGCCAGATCGCGAGATGCGGAGGGAATCTAGTAAATAAAGAAATCTCATTATAAGCAACATGAAATAATCGAAAGCCTATAAAGGGAGTACATAAATTAAAAATTGGAAAAAATAATTTAAAATTCTTATAAAAAATGTAATAAATAGTTAACAATTAATCAATAATTAAAAATTATTTTATAAAAATTTATTAATTGTACAAACAATTTTAGAAATAAATGAGTTGTCACATTTTAAAATTTTTATATATCTTGGAAAAATATTTGGAAAAAATAAAAAATTATAATTATTCTTATAGAGTATTTAAGACATTTTTTATGTAAAATTTAAATTAAGTTTAATTACAAATTTAAAGTAGTAAATACTTAAAATTTAAAAATATTTTTAAAATTATTATGACAAAAATGAAAAAAATTAAATTTTAAATAATTAATTTATTTATTAAATTAATTATTTTAAAAATTGTTTTTCTTAAGTTAAACTTATCGATAATGCGTAAATAAAAAAATAAATAAAAAAAAATCAGGTAAAAATGCTTTTCTTTTTTCTTTTTTTATGGTCACACAAAAATGTACGAAGAAAAATATTTGTTATTATTTATTTACACAAAAATATTCCTGACAGATTTAAATAAAAATAAAAATAAAAATTTAATTTTGTCCTTAAAAATAATTTAAAATTTTTTAAATAAAAAATTGATTAGAATATTTTGAATATTTTTAGAGAATAAATTGCTGATTGAGCGCGTTTACGTGGTGTGAAAAAGGTTTTGTTTGTTATTGTTTGGCGAGAAACTATTAAATAACAAAAGGAATGTGTGATAAAAAGAGAAGGAATTAATTTTAAATTGATTAGTAAATTAAAATTTTAAATTTAATTTTGTAAGAAATATCCCAAAAAAAGTGTACATTAAAAAATTAAAACTTAATTAAATACTGATTTTAATAGGATACCTGTGTATTTATTGTTAAAATAATTGCTGACTGAATACAGCAATATTCGATTAAAATTTATTTTCTGATTCCGAATTTAGTTAAAATCTCGAGTTCGTTTGTCAATAATATTTAAGGGATACGGTATTTATTCAAATAATAAGTAAAGTATTGTTTAAAGTAGAGTAAGTCGAGTTCCGAGTAATTGGGAAAAACCGAGCTCGAGTAATCCGAGTTTGAAAAACCCGAGCGGTCGAGTCGAGTAACACGAACTCGCTCGAACTCGACTTACTCTAGTTTAAAGCTCTTGCAGGGAAAGGGTAATTAATAGGAAGGGGTAATTAGTAAATAATTTTATTATTTTAACAAATTTTTAATTAATTAATTAAATATATTTTTAGAGAAATACTGAAATTTTTTTTTATTTTCTTCCGTTAATTCTTCTCTTCTTATTTTTTTCATCCCTTCAACAACCACTTTCTTCTTTCTACTTATTTGCGCTACCCAAAAATGTGCTCAATAAATAAATACATTTTTATTTATGTAAAAGTCTCTTTCAAACATTCCAACAAACAAAATCGATCTTTTAACTTTAACAAGTTTTACCGATTTTGGCTGTCATTGTTTTCATGATTTTACCCATAAATACCTTCCCAATAAATTTTAAAAAATTTAAAAATTTAAATTTAGCTAAAAATATGTATTTAAATTATGATTGAGGTTTTAGTAATTGTCACAATTTTAAATTAAATTTTTAAATTTAATAAAATATATACTCGTTGTGACACTCTTATTTGATATTTTTACAAAATAATAATAGGCCCGCACTTTTTTCTTGTTTCCTTGACCATTTTGAGCTTTTTTGCTTGATATATAATTTATTATGCTAATGGTACCATGATCGGTTAGGTCTGATCATTCGAAACTTAATTATGTAGCTGAATCCTTGAAGGAAAGGATTCGGCTTGATGAAACTGTCAATTTATGCCAAACCATATAAATATGTTTAAATAATTACCCTGGAATTATTGTTTCAAATTCTCGCTCAAGGAGGTAACTACACATAAAGTATATGAAAATTTTCTTAAATGTGGATTAAAAATATTTTTTTATTTAATCAAAATATTTATTAAAATTTAAATGATTATTAATAGGGCGTGTAATTATATCGAAATCCATATTTTTTTTCCTGAATTCCTAAGACTCTGAAACGTACGAAAAACATGTTTTTGGCCTGTTTTAGGGTTTCTAGAATGGTCTTTATAATCCATATTTTCCATATTTTTCCACCATATTTTGGCATTATGCCCATATTTTCCATATTTTGTCCATATTTGGTCATTTTTTGGTAAATTTTACTAAAAATTGGCGAAAATTTTCAAAATTTTGGAAATTTTTGGTCAAAAAATTTTTTTGAAAATTTTTCGGAAAAATTTATTTTCAAAAAAAATTTAAAGGAAATTTTAAATCCATAAAATCTTTTAGAATGTTTCTAAAATGCAAAGTTAAAGGCAAAATTATTGTTTTCTATATAAAATACTGATTTTTAAAATATCTTTTGACTATTTTTTGATCCATATTTCGGGATTTTATATCCATATTGGCCATATTTTTCGATTTTATATCCATATAATTACACGCCCTAATTATTAAAATAATTTTAAAATTTGTCATAAAATTCAAAAAAAATTTAAATATATTTATAATTCACAACAAACTTTTTTTCTACATTTTTAATTAAAAAGATTAAAAATCATTTTTAATTATATAATTAATTAAACTTGTTTTTCTTTTCTTTTTTTTTTCTCTTCGCTAAGCTCATCTTTTTTTTCTTTAAAAATTTTCTCCTCCTCCAAAATCATAAATTTTCTTGCGCATTTTGCATAAAATAAATTAAAATATATTTATTTCTTTAATTTAAAAATTATGTGGACATTCTTAGGCTTAAAAGCTTTGGGAGGAGAAAATAAAAAATTGTTAGAAAATATGTTACCCAATTTTTTCCCTCCCCAACCTCCCCAACAAATTCAACAACAACCAGAAAATAACGGAATTAGAGAATTACTTTTTGGGGGTGGAGGAGGGGGAGATATATGGCCACAACAACAAAATAACACTAATAATTTATTTAATCAACAATTAATTATTCCAAATCCAACAACAAATAATTTTTTAGTTCCCCCACCATTCCCCCAACAACCCCAACAACCTTTACAAGTTATTACTATTATTCTTCAATATGGGCCTTTAAAAGAAATGGTGGTTGTTGAAAGAACGGTTGATCCGAATGCTTTCGAAATTTTTAGGTTGGAAATTTATTGGGAGTTTTTGGTCTAGTTGTGTGTTTAACTCCTCAAGTTCCAAGTTATCTGTTTAGAATAAATTTGTAGTGGAGAATGACATTACTGAAGAAGCTTTTTCACAAATAATTTTTTACAATTAATTCTTAACAGTTAAAGTACTATTCAAAAGTAACTAACATCCATGTTAAACTTCTATTAATCTCTTCACTCACAGCGAACATCTCACTAAATCTTGAGTGAATTATTAAATATTTTTATAATTTTTAAAGACAAAAAGCTCGCCAAATGGTAGAAAAACAATTACAAATAGAAGCATCTATTAATTCAACAGGGACTTCAAATATAATGGTTGGAGAAATTCAACTTTTCCTTCATGATTATAAAAGTTTTAATATGTTAACTTGTTTGGCAACGTTAACACAATTGGTTAATTTATGAATTTAATTTAAAAAAAACAGAAAGCTTTAGGTTACTAAACATTGGCCAAATTAAAAAAAATATGAACTAAATTAAGGTCTATATAGTATCAATAGGATTTACTAGGGTTATTCCCCGTTGAATGGAAATTTTTCGAGAAAATTTATAAGAAGCTAGCAGCACAAGGGGTATCACTTTGACGATAATTTTTAAGTTAAAAAATTGTTTTTAACAAAATTCAAAGTAAAATTAATTTAAAAAAATCAAAATAGAAGGAATAAATTTTTGAGTATTTTAAGAATTTGTTTTTACTGACATATATTAAATAAAATTTGGGCAAAAAATATAAAAAAGAAATAAAATTAGAATTAAATTTTGAAATATTATATTCTTTTCTTTTTACTCAAAATGCTTTTAAGGACAATGGAAGTGTTGTAGAAATAATTCGAATTGAGAGACATGAGCGACCTACCAAGCCCCATTCTTTAATAGTAAACACTTATGTTACTCCTACTTTTTGTGACTATTGTGGGGAAATACTTATGGGGTTAGTTAAACAAGGACTTCAATGCCAGTCTTGCAAGTAAACTTTGGAGAAAATAATTTTTTGGAATTTTGTTTTTAGGTGTAATTTTCATAAGAAATGCGCTTTTGCACCGAGAAATAATTGTGCCAAATCTGATATTGTTCCTAGCACGTTTCTTGCTGGAGGGGTTGACCAACAATATTTAACTCACGGTGGGAATTGCTAAACTACATCAGACTGGATACACCTCAGTTTACAATAAATTTATGAGAAATTTAATTGGCCATTGAATGAGGGATCCGTTTTAAGATATTTAAGATAATTAATAATAATCTATTTAAGATAAACATCGTTATAATTTATAAGAGAAACATAGTCTTTCAGCCCAAGGGGTTATAGAGAGGCTCGCCAATATTTTGTTTTGGTTTAATAGAAGCTTGGAAATTTAGAAATTAATTTAAAAAATTTAAATATCTTATGTAGATAATGACCACCACCAACAACAATTAAAACAACAAAATTTGCCACAACACCCACAATTTCAATTACCACATTCTTTACTTATTCATAACTATAAAATGCCCACAGTTTGTAAAATATGTGATAAATTACTTGTTGGGATTGTTAAACAAGGGTTGCGTTGCCGGGATTGTAAGGTGTGTCTGGGAAGGTGTTGACAAACTATACCCCTCCTTTTTATGAAATTTTTCACTAATCCACGTTCTAATTGACTTGAATTTATGCCAGCTTTTGTGAAATGGCCAGAGAAAAGATTATTCGATTTCGAGAATTATTTCGAAAAATTTTTTTGTTCAGAATCTCGATATTAAACGTTCAGAAAAATTCAAAACAGAAATAATTTCTCTAATTATTTTTAGGTAAATGTACACAAAAAATGTGCCCATTTACTTCCCTCAAATTGCCAAATAACTGCAGAAAATGCTATAACACCAAACGTGACATTTGAACAACAAAACGCATCAAATGATATTGATATACAACAACAGATATCTTCAAATAAACAGTCACAATTAATAGACACATCGACTGATGCAATGATTCCATTAGCTCGGTTGCCAGGTATGCAATTAAATTTTGCGGATTTTTGACGGACTTCGTCGTTGACTCAGATTTCGGCTCAGATTTTTCTTTAAAAAAGTCCTCAAGAATTATTTGATCTCATATAATAGTGAAAGCAACTATTTTTTAATGGATAAAAGTTTTATATATTTATTTTAAAGGCTCAGCTTCAAGTCGTTCACAACGTCCAGCAGGTCCAATGGGCCAAATTGTATGTGAAGGCTGGCTTATTCACTTTGTTTTGCAAGAACGTGATAGGCGTAGACTTCGGCATTATTGGATTCTTTCAAATGGAATAATTAGCCTTTTTAGTGAATATAATGATGGTTAGAATAATTTTTATTTTTATTTGTTGTGAGGGGGTTTTCTTCATAATTTTATTTATTAGGATGTTACAAACCCATTCTTAAAAGGCAAAAGTAGAAGCATCTTTATTGTTATGTTTCCATATTTTCTTCTAAACGTTTTTCTCTTGGTCTCGAGTAGAGACCGAGCCGGAAATGTTGACGGAGACCGAGTGTTGTTGTTGTTCAAGTTCTTGTTCAAACCAAGAGCTTGTTCAAAATGTCTTTCCGGTCCGTTCACTAGATTCAAAAAATCTTACGTTTTTCGAACTGCTTGATTAAGAGAAGCTCCGCTGAGAATCTTTTATTAAGATAGGAAAATCCAATTACATAACACAAACCCCCATTCTTTCATTTTCCCCATTTATTTATTCTAAATAGTAAAGAATTTATAAAAATTTAGTAAAATATTTACATTAATCAACTAAATTGATCCGTTCTTTTTTCATTCCAATTTAAAATTATCTTCATTCTTTCTCTCTTCTTTCAATCATCAATTACTAGCTACATTCCCCCAATATATTTTGCAGGTGTCAATCCAAATCGTGTTTTTAAACAAATCAATTTGGCGGAGATAATAGCTTTGGTGCCGTACGAGGGTCCTTCTCTTGATCCAAAGTGAGTAATTTCACAACAAAATGGTTAAAAAGAGAACAGTAATATATTACTAAAATGTTCACATATTGATAAAAATAAAATTTTAGAAAACTCTTTTTTGGAATTATTGTTTTTATTCATTTTTTCTGTAAAAATCTAAAAATATTTTAAGTCCAACTTCGAAAATAATTAAAATTTAAAGATCCCCTCCACACGCATTCGAAATTAGAACAACAACTAATTTAACTTATTGTGTCGGGGAAAATTTGGAGGCTCTCTTACAGGGAGGACCAACAACAGCTCAACAAGTTAACAACAAACTGGCTACTGGAAGTGTTGTTGGTGGCGCTTTAAGTTGGCAACAATGGTATCAGGTTGATTTTTATTTTTATTTAAAAGAGCAGAGGAAAACTTTGGGAAAAATAAGGGTTCATTAATCTTTTATTTATTTTGTATTTAAATTTTTTATTTTCGCCAAAATTATTTTACACAACGCCAAACTGGCGGAATGTTTATTTTATTTTCTTAAAGTTTTTTATTTTTTTTGGAATTTTTCTTCAAGTATTGAATTCAATTTTGTATTGTTTTTTTTGTTATCCTTCCATCATTGATTGACTGAATACTCAGACATTGGTACTTTTCCGTTATCCCTACCCCCTTTTTGCACAGAATGACTTCAGACTTTCACCTTTCCTTAATTCCACTCAAGTTTTCTGTGGCATGTTCACTATGAGAACCATTCTTTTGTCTGACCATTCTTTACATAAGACAGTCCGCAAAAAAGTCCGCAAAAAGGGGGTAGGATAACGGAAAAGTACTCAGACATTTCTTTATTAACAGACCATTACCTTAACAATACAATCATTTTTCTCATTTTCTGTATTTTTTCTGTATTTCATTTTTTAATTCTTTTAGCAATTTATTTGAAAATTATCATGCTTCAAATTGTTAAAACATTTTACGGAAACCCCATGCTTATTTATGAGGGTTACATCTTTTGGAAAGGTTACACAACAAAAAAAGGCATAACTGTTTGGATTTGTAATAAATACAAAGGAGCAGCGCATTATACTTCTTGCAAATTTACTCTTCGAACTAGCGGTGATATTGACAATTTAATTATTGAACAGGCATTTTTTAATCAATTTTTGTGAGTAATTTTAAATTAGACTTGTGGTAATCATCGACACACTCCGCCATTTACTGGAAATTATTATGAAAAGTCTTTTGAGAAACACCCAGCTGCAACAAAGTCAATAACGGAGACTCCTGTTCTTCGAAGGAAGAGAGGCCGTCCTTCTACAAGATCGAGGACGAGGGAACCAAAAATGCCTGTAACACCAATGAAGAGATCAGCAACTTCTCAATCGACAACTGGAATAAATAAAAAGAATGTTGGCACCCCTAAACGGTCTAGAGGGAAGTCTGAAGCAAGAAGCATCGAATTGATGGACTGCCCTGCAAAAAATCTTCGATTTTCTAAGAAAAGGGATGAGGGAAAGGTTTGGTATTTTTGTTAAAGTATTTCCTCTGCTCTTTTGATTATTTTATTCAATTTAAATCCAATTTAAAATTTTTCTAGGCTCTTCAACAGTCCTTACAACCTCCTGTTCTTCGAAATGAGACAGCAGCTCCCGAACCGGCACTTCAATTTTCTCAGTTGTATCAGGTATCTTTCATTCGCTCTGAATTCTATTCCAATTTTTACAGCTTCAACGAGAAAAGATTCTTGGTTCTGGTCAATTTGGAACTGTTTTTAGTGCTGTACATAGACATTCGAGACGGGAAGTTGCTGTGAAGGTAAATTAAATTTTTATTTTTGTAAAATCTTTCAAAATTTAATTCTTTATTCCAGTCTTGAGATCAGGAAATTTTTGAAATAAAATTTTTTGGTTGTAATAGTTGGGGTATTAGATCCTTTCAAGTTTTTTAGTCGACATTAAGACCTTCCAAGGGTTTTTAGAAATCAGAGTATTTACATTACCTCCTAATTTTCAAACCGACCCCAGAAAAATATTTTCTTGCTATCTTTTTCAGAGACTCCAAAATTCAATTTATTAAAATTTTTTAATGTTTTTTTTTCTAAAATCAAAATCCTCAAAAACATTCGCAGATGATAGCCAAAGACCGTTTCTCCAAAAAATCCTCAGCTGTAGAAACACTCAAAAGTGAAGTTGCTATTTTACAAGCTGTTGATTTTCAAGGAATTATTAAATTGGAAAGTATGTTTGAGACAAAAGATAAAATTTTTGTTGTTATGGAGAAAATGAATGGAGATATGTTGGAATTAATTTTAAGTCAGGTTATTTTAATTTTTAAATATTTTTTGTGAATTTTTTAATTTTTAGGCGTCTGGTCGTCTTAATGAACGTTCAGCTAAATTTTTGATTATGCAAATTTTAAGGTTTAAATTCTTTTTAGAAATTTTATTTTAAATTGTTTTTTTAGAGCTCTTCGTTATCTTCATTCTAGAGGAATTGCACATTGCGATTTGAAGCCGGGTAAAATAATTTGTTTTAATTTTAATTTATTTTTGACTGTTCGGATTTTATCAAAAAATATTGGGAAAGCCTATCAAAAATTAAAAAGAAAATTCTGAAAAATATTTTTAACATGTAAAAATAGGAAAGGAATTTTTCTTTTGTAAACTTTCCATCTTTTTGATCTCACACCGTCGTTGTCTCTCATTAACATTAGAGGACGGTGTATTAGCTTACAGCCCCCTTTCCTCTCATTGAGAAAAAGGAAAATGTTAGGTGCAATAAAAGAGTAATTCTGACTCTTGGCTATCTAAATTACTTAAATACCCAAATTAGCTTTTAGTTTTTTTTCTAACAAAATTTTTTCCTAACAAATTATTTCCACCTATAAGAATTTTTCTGAATTAGTTTTCTCATTTTTAGAAAATGTTCTTCTTTCTGATTTTAAATCAAATTTTCCACAAACAAAACTTTGCGATTTTGGCTATGCTCGGTTTATTGGAGAAACTCAATTTAGAAAGACAATTGTTGGAACACCTGCATATTTGGCACCTGAAGTACTTAAAAAGAAAGGTTATTTTTGAAAATTTTTTTGGTTAAATTTTTAATGAAGAAATACTGACAAAAAGTCAAGGAAAAATTTAATTGAAAATGATCCAGAAAGTAAATTGAGAAAAATTTTATTTAAATCCCGGTCTCCTCTTTTAATTTTCCCATCTTCCCTTTTCTTAAGTTGACTAACCTGATTGAACATAGCTTTCTTATTAAAACATTAAGTACATAGTTGGCTTTGACCTAATGCAGAAAATGCTTATTTTTCAATTTTATTCTCTTTTGGGCAATTAAAATAACGTTTCCTAATAATGAGAAAAAACCCCAAAAAACATTTATGGCCAATATTCTTTTAATTATCAAGCAAATTATTTTGATTTTAAAATTAAAAAAATATTTTTTTCTTCTCATTTTTAGGTTACAATAAATCGTTGGATATGTGGTCTGTCGGTGTTATTGTTTATGTAACCCTTTCTGGTACTTTTCCTTTCAATGAAAATGAGGAAATTACTGACCAAATACAGAATGCTGAATTTATGTTTCCTTCAAATCCTTGGAGAGAAATTGGCCGCGAGGCAATTGATTTAATTCAGCAATTACTTAAAGTTCAGGTTATCTTTAAATTTTAAAATAAAACTTATTTTTTTAATTTTTTAAAGATTGAAGAACGCCTTAATATTGACGAGTGTATTGCTCATCAATGGCTTCGTGACCCACAAGTATTTTTTTTTGAAAAAATATTAAATGTGTGATATAGGGTTAAAGGGGGGGGGCCTTGAAGTATTCTTTTCTGACATTTCCGGAAATCTGATTTTAAAGATTGAAGAACGCCTTCTGAGAAAAAAAAGTGGAATTCGAAAATTGTTTAAAAATAGGACTCTTCCATACAGAAAATTTCAAGTTTAAATAAGAGAACTCATTTCTTTGTAAGAAATTGAAGAAATGCCTTTTTTATTCTTCATTCAAAGGTGAAGATTTTGGGGGTTTTTGTCTTTCTAGTTTATGATTAGTTCCATTTTTTATTAAAAGTTTAAGGCTTAAAAATAATTTTTTAGACCTATTATGATTTGTTTTGCCTTGAGAAACGTTTGGGCCTTGAAAAGCGTTATTTAACTTCTGATTCTGAAGATCTCATTTGGGCGCCCCAACTTCACGCAATGGGTCTTTTAAAAAATGGTCAAATTCGCTTTATTGAAGAAACACCTACAGAACATCCTCTTCCATTACTTGAAAATACAAAAACTGTTGATATGTCAGAAGTTTGATTTTTTTATAATTTTAAACAAAATTTTTTCGAGAATTTTTATAATTATTTTTTCTGGCATTTATAAAAGAAATATATTTACATATTTTTTGTACTATTTATTTCTATTTAAAACCCCTTCCAATGAAAATATCTTTTCCATTCAGATTTTGTATAGATTTCAATCAAATCAAGTCGTGTTTTGTTGATTTCTTTCCCACATTTTTTGACAGACTGACCATTTTGTACGTCTTTAACAAAAAAATTGACGGGGGGGGTGGGAAGTAAATAAGTGCCTATTTTGTGTAGAGTTAGCTTTATGATTCAGGAAAAAATTTGTTGAAAAACTGGCGATCTGTAAATTAAGTTTCGCGAGAAAACAAATTTTGTCATTACAGGAATTTAAGGATAATTTTATTAGCTAACATAAATTACACAGACAAATAATGATTGGGGAAATAATACATATTAGTTTTTATCTACTTTTTTTCATCCTTCCTTCAAGCAGTTCACATATAGTAGGAAATGCCATTATTATTGCCTCTACTCGGATAGCTGGTTTAGAAACCGGAAGGACGAGCGCCAGGATATCCACCAGGAGCAGTGTTCGGTATACCGTAGGCCGAACCAGGGTAGGTACTCATGTAGACAGAAAGAGGGCGAGTACTGTCCATATTGATCAAGCCTTTAAAATTTGAATAAAATTAAAGACTTATTTTTAAAAATTTTTCTCACCTCCAGTGCCGAACGGGTTGTTTCCAGTTCCCCAAGGATTTGTGCGAGGTACTACAACTTCTAAATAAAGGGAATTGAAAAAATAAAAAGGAAATTAGTTGACCTGGTGTCCATGAGCCTCCTCCAGTGCCTCGCTGATGTGTTATCACACATTCTCTTCCGCCAGTACCTCTTTGATGTGTTATTACACATTCTCCCCCAACAACTTCTCCCTGTTGCCTTATCACACAGCCTCCACCAATGTCTCTCTGTCGTCCTAATATACAGCCTTCACCGGGGGCTCTCGGCCTTATTGCACAGCTATCATATGGTCTGGAGCCTTCATCAACAGGTCGCACCGGAAAACATCTAATAGTTGTCATTCTTGTGGGGCTTTCAGCAGGCGTTCCTGTTGCCATTCCACTTCCCATGACAGTCCTTCCACCGGAAACTTAAAGTAAAAGGAATATTCTTTCGAAATTAATATCCGATTAATTTACCTTCTCTTTGGGAACCGCCTCCAGTTGAGCTCATGTAGGTTGACGGGTTTCCACCAGATGCCTGGCCCGCGCCGAAGTACGTAGAATTATCCATGGATTTGTGAAGAAATGTTGTAGTCAATTGTAGATTGTATCTGCTTGAGTTGAGGATTAAATTTATATTATTGAGGATTAAAATTTTTTTATCCTTTTATACTAAATTTAATCTTCAATACCTCCAGCAAGGATAGACAAAATGTTTTTCTCAACTTTTGTTATTCTTGAGGGTTTTTTGATAATTTTTGTTATGTCTCCTGTTTCGTAAATACGAAGCTGCAGATATAGAAAATAAACGTTAATTTATAAAATCATCTTCCATTAAAAGGAGTCGAAGTATGTCCCTACTTATCTCCGCTAATAAATTAACAAAATCCCAATACTGCAATTTGCTACTCGATTGGAGTGGTTTGCTGGTAGAATAAGAGTGTGGTTGCTAGTTAGGTGACCAACCAGCCCCAACTTTTTTCCCTTAATTTAAAAAAGAAGGGAGAAATGGGCTGAGCCGTTATCAAGTCTACGAACATAAATCTAAAAATCTAAGTCCTATTTCTACATAATTTTCATAAAGTTTTCTCGAAGTGTCATTTCTCAGGTCATTAAAATTAGCCACCAAAATTTACTAACAATTTTTTTTTTAATTTTTACAAATTATAAAATTTATAATTATTTTTCTAATAAAAATTGATATATTAATGTGAATTTTCTTTTATCCATTCTTCTGTTATTAATGGAGGTGCTTGTTCATCATATAACATATAAACAGCAAAAACAATTGTAAATACACTAAAAACTAATTTCAAAACTTTCTCAATCATTCTTGCAAGCATTTGCCATTCAACACGGATTTGTCTCAATTGTTCTTCTGTTAACAATGAAAGCCTTATTTCTTGAACTGTTTGAGATACTTCTTCTTAAATTTAATTAAAATAAATTATTTGGACTATTTTTAGAGTTTTCTTTTTAATTTTTAATATTTGAAAAATATTTGGTATAGATTCTCCGATATAGTAGTAGATTGGGGTGAATTCGTTTTTTAAGAAAAATTGACATTAGGTAGTTAATAGAGTTTCACCGGAAGTTCCGGTTCCGGCCGGAACCAAGAAAAGTTCTGGTACCGGAATCCGAAACTAAAATTGGATCCGGTTCCAGTTCCGGTCAAAATTTCGGTTCCGGCGAAACGCTAGTATTTAATTAATCTTAAGAGGCCTTAATTCCAAAGAATTTTCAATCTAGAGGTAAAGAACATCGATTGCGGTCTGCCTTTTAATAATTTTCCGACACCCGTATTTTTATCCCTTTTTGTTTCTTTTTATCGAGAAAATCGCCTGCTGCGGGGAATGGTCAAAATGGAATTTTCGGTAACAAAAATTTAGCGATTTCCTCTGGCTCTAAAATATAGTTTTCAATCTTTTAGTTAAATTTAAAAAGCTTCTAACTAATTGAATTTGATATTGAATCATTAAAGGAATTTCTTTCTGTTGTTTGTTTTGTTGCTGTTGTTCCATTCTCTGTTGTTTTCTGATTACTATTGGAATCGGTAAAAATAGAGCAATGCCTCTACAAAAAATTATATCTTCTAAAAATTTTATTGTTAAAAACTCACATGAGAAGTATATTTTGATTCGGGTGGTAATAAATGTGAATTTACTTCTTGTTGAACTGAGCCATTCCTTTGGCCAAGTGAGGCGATAAAGGGGAATCGACTATCATCAAGATAGGGTGGGAGGCCCATACGCACTCTTTCCTGAATAAATGCGAGAATTATTTCTTAGATTTCTTCAAAGACAGGGAAGACTGGTATTTAATGAATGATTTGGTGTACGGAATTTTCGTCTCTGGAAATTTCGTCTCCAACATTTTCGGAATTTTCGTCTCCAGCGGAATATTCGTCTCCAAGGAAATAAACGGAATATTCGTCTCCACAATTTTCGTCTCCGCTAGGAATTTTCGTCTCCAGAGGAAAATTTACCCGTTGACGGAACAACTTCCCCCGCTGACTGAACACTATCCCCCGTTGACGGGGACTATCCCCCGTCGTTTTAGAGTTTCACCGGAGGTTCTAGTTCCGACTCCGGAAAGGTCAAAATTTCTGTTCCGTTGAAGCACTAGTAATTTTAGTTTTCATGAATAATTATTAATTAATCACGGGGATTTTGTGCTATATTAGATCCGTTTTTGTTGAAGTTTTCGGTAAAATTTTTCAGTTATTAATGGTTCTTTTACAAGTGCCCATGTTATCTTTAGTGTTTAATCTTTAATGATAAACAAAAGAATCATTTACAAATCGTTTAATCCGATGCCTAACACTTTGTTGCATAGTTGCCAATTCTCTTCCAAGTAAATGCTTCATAAATAAATTATTATTTCGAGGGTTTGCCCCCAACAGCCAATGACGTAAACGTCTAGGTAAAGCTCTCCCCGAATTTCCATTTGTTTGTAAATGCTAGATTGAAATTAAATTTTTTCCCCTATTTTTTAAAATATTTTTTACAAGTGTCCATGTAGTAATGTATGTAGCAGTAAATTGAATACATATTAGCCCTATAAAGAATTAAATTTCTTAAAAATATTTTAATTAATTAGCCAACCAATATAATACTGACCAAGTACAGGGACAGTATCTGATGTTGCTGGTAATTTGTCAGAAACCATCATAACTTTAATTAAATTTATTTAAAAAATAAAAGGAGGAATAAATGTAAATTTACGGATTAGAGCAAGTGAAAGCAGTGATGTTACTCCAAGGCTAACCTTTAAAATATAAAAATATTTTCTTGATTAACTAGCTTCTAAGCTAGGTAGGTACTTAATTAAATGCTTTATTGAACAGCCAGGAATTTTAGAACGGGCACGGGGACGGGGGTACATGGTTGAAACCTCCCACCGTCCCAGGACGGCGTTCGAACCGTAATTTAAATGTTTCAACTATTCCATACAGAATTTATTTTTTTCTTAATTATTTGTCTAAATTAATCAAAATTATTTATTTATTTTCACACCTTTTCAGTATTTTCTCCAGTACTAGAATGTGTTGTAAAAAATCCAACAACCGTAATTGTTGTAATTAAAGCTGAAGGCATTATTAAAGTAAATAAATAGTAGGAAGGATTTCGTTTAATTGAAAAATAGTAGCAAATATCTGGGTAAGGATTTGGACAACAATCATACATTCTAATTGAGAAAAAATTTTTATTTAAGAGGAAAAAATAATTAAGAGAATCAAGATCATAAGTTATAAATAAAGTAACAATCTACAGTTAAATTTGATGGAACTATTGGCTACCTTGGCTAAAAGTTATAGAATTTTTAGTTCAAATATTTCCAAATGTATAACCGATAATTTACTGATTAATCTTAAAAAGCAGTTTCTATTTTCTAAAATATTTAACTAAAAATATTTTTAATTGTTGACAATTTTAAAAGACCCAGACATCAAACAGATTAAATAAACCTACTTTAAATTTGAGCGTGTTTTAAAGTCAATTAACCCTTTAAAATTAATTTTATTTAAAAAATAATTACTAAAACCCAACTCCATTCCATATTTGGAATATAATGTGTTAAAGATGCTGATTTCATAAAATAATTATTTTGTCCAGAATTTGAGGAGGAGGAGGAGGATTGGTGATGATGGGAAGATAAATTCATTTGACTATTTCTATTTAATCCAGCAGATTGGTTTGTTTGGTCATCACCAGCAGGACGGACCATTACCTTATTTTTATTATTATTATTAATTTATTTTATTGGGAGATGTGATATTGGAAGACACAGGTTACTGGACTTAGATCTTCTAAATATTTGACTTAATAAGCGAAGGTTCATGAAGGGGAAAAGTTTGAAGTTGAAGGAAGGTTGAAGGAATAATTTAACATAGGAGTTAGGTACTTAACATAGTATCTGCCTTTAACTCCATATCTTTCCTTAAAAAATATTCCCTTACTTGTGATCCATCATAACTCCAAGAAGCTAACATTAAATAACAAATTTGTTGATCAAAAGGGAATCTATGCTGTAAAATAAAATAATTTTTTCCCCAAAGTTTTAAATTAAATAAACCAAATTTAGATGACAACTTATGCCAGTTATCTAAAAAATATTTTTTCAAAAATTTCTGAAAAATTATTCTACCACAGCGCGAAAAAGAGAAACACGCCCATCGTGTTGAACTAAAGCATTTGTCATCATTTCGCTTTCGTGTACATTCATATTTGCACTTTAATTATTTTAAAATATTAGTCAAAAAATTCCTTTCAAAAAAACTTATTGTAAACAAGTAAATCTGGACGCCAAATCATTTCTGCAGGAATATGTAATTGTTTAATTCCCCCAAAGGTTGAGGGATCCCAACGAAGAAATTCATCGGTCCAATACTTTAAATTTTTATTTAAAATTATTTTTTAGAGGGAAAATTATTAAATTAGGTAGTTGTTAATTAATTTCTAAATGTTTTATCTCTTAATAAAATAAAGGGCCAATGAAAAAAAGTATTAAGGATTAGAGATCGGAACGGGCCCGAGAGCCAGACCCGTTTCCCGGTTTTCGACTACCTTTTTCCGGTTTTTTGAAGCAACTGGGATGAAACGGGAACGGGAATTCCCGGGTTTCCCGGTCCGGGTCCCTCCCGGTCAAATTTCAGAACCCGGTTCCCGGACCCAGTTTTTTCAAAATTCTTAAGGATCGTACGGGAAACAGATTTTGATATATTGAAAAATCTTTATCTCAACCACAGTTATTTTTATTCGATATCTCGTCCAATTCGATCACAAATTGTTAACTTAAATAAAAAACCACCTCTTCTAACCAACAATAAACAGTAATTATTTGATCATTTTCCCTAACTTTTTGTATTTGTTTAAAATATAATTGAACAGCAACTTCAGTAACTGTACTTTCATTAATTACTGGACGTAATTCTTTTCTGTAAAATTTAAATAAATATTCAAGTAATTCTCTTTGTTTTGGTATAGAAGGTGTTGTTGGTGGTGGTAGTGTTTGTTGTGTTAAGGGAATTGGTGAGGAAGGTGTAGATAAAACTTGGGATAACTAGAAGAAAATTTAATTTTTTTTTGAAAGATTTATTTTTAAAATTTATTTTAGGGGTTATTTTTATTCACCAATATTTCCGTACAATTTATGGATATAACAAGTCTCGATTTAATTCCAAATTAAAAAAGTTTAAGTTTTTTTTGGAATATTTAGAATATTTTTTTTCAAGTCTTTATTCTAGATTTAAACCATTCAATCCAAAATCAAGTCCTAAACTTAGACAAAAATATGCTCAATAAAAAGCCTTGCTGCTCTATAAAAAAGTTTCAGAAATGATTGAAGAAGGCTCTTTTCATCAGCCTTTATTCGAGATATAGGAGATTGGCTTTAGATGGACTTCAAAGGGTCTTTAGAGGGCATTGTTTGTATTATGGTAACAACCAGTGTTTGGAAGCTCGTACCAAACTTCGTACTCGACTTGTACTTGTGTACGGAGTACGAGCAAAGTTCAAAATTACAAACACGGTTAACAACTAAATAAATTTTTCCCATTTTGAATAACTTACTGTCGGTATTAAATAAATGTTCAAGTTGAGCAAAAAGAAAAGACGAAGAAAATAGCGTAAATAAAAGAAAGTTTTTGTTGTTAGTTGAGGGGTTTTTATTAAATTTATTAATTTACAAAACATTTATAAATTTATATATCTACAAAAATAGAAACAATTCACACGTTAAAAATAACAAAAATATAAAAGAGGGTTTTTCAGAAAGTGCCAAAATATTTTAAAAACAAATGGATATTTTCACTCCTTTTATTGTTCTCCTATTACAAAGAAAGTAACTTTTTGGCGTAGACTGTTAAGGCGTAGTCTGGTAAAATTTGTTCAAATTTATAGTTAATTATCGTTAAAAATGACGCTTTTTGGTACATTTTTATCATTTTTTGTCATAACTTTTGACATAACAATCCAAAAATTTTAAAATTTATATAAGAAACGGTTAATTATATTAGAAATATTTATAGAAAATTTCAATTTTTAAAGGCATTGTTAGGTGGGTACGAATTAGAAACCGAACTGGGAAGGAAACGAGAATCTCGAGAAAAAATATCGATTCTCGAAAAATACAATCATGATAATACAGATTTTGTTCAATCTTGTCTCGGTCTCATCTCAAATACTCATAAATAAAGCATGCCAGAAGACGCTGCGTCCAAACAATTTTTTTGTTTATTTAAAAAAGAAAGGTGGCAATATTTGTTACTTTTTCCTAAAATGTTCTCCTTTGTTTGAAATATTTCCTTCCAATTTTTCATGCTTCCCCAAGAGAGTAAAAAAAGTGAATACTTGGCAACTTAGGCTTTTTTTAAAATATTAAAGACAAAAACCAAGGAACGAATAAAATTTTTTTGTAAGGAAGATGAATGAATATTTTTTTGAATGAATGAACCGGGAATAAATGATGTAAATTATAAAACAAAAGGGAAGATATAAAAATAGAGATTTTATGTAGATTTTTAAGAAAAGATTTTTTTCCTTTTTTAGGTTAAATTAATGGACTTTTGTATTCTTTTTTTAAATTATTTTCTACAATTTTTTCTTACAAATTTATGTATTCTTTATTCTTTTAAATTTCTATTATTGTTAATTAACTAAATTATTTTTTAATCTTTTTTTCTAATATTTGTTGAAATACAATTCTGTCCATTATTTCTAAGAAAGTTAAGAAGTGTTTAAAGAAAGGAGAATGGAGTCGAAGTTCTTCGAAACAAAGTTGTCCTCTACCCATATGTTCTATCAACTAAAGAATTATCATAAACTTTTAAATCCTCTCTCTCTTTTATTTTTAAATTTTTTAAAATCTGAACGTTAACGTATACACCCTAGGGATTAAAAAATAGGTAGGTAGATTAAAATGTGTTGTAAATCAAAATATAGGGTATCGTTAGTTATATCTCCCTTAAACCAAAAATACGTACACTAAACTGAATTTGGTATACATCAGAGGTGAATCGGAAATGACGAAGGTGCCGGAGCTCGGAAATCGGAATTCCGATTCACCTCTGATATACATTAATGGAATCAGGTATATTATAGTATATCCGACTGCATTAGAAAACTTGGGGAGGAAAAGATTTTGAAGCAAATATGTGTGTGGTCTAATAATTAAAATAAAATTTTCAAATATTTAGTAGTATACTTTTCAGGAATAAAAAATAAATTTAAAAAAAGTAAAAACACAAACTAAATATTTTTATAAAAAAGGTATTAGATTTTTAGTTTTTGATAAATTATTTTACTAGAAATATTTTTAAAAAATATTTTAAAGGCAATTTAAGCCATTTTTTGTTTTTGGGGGAATTGACTAATTGAGGGAATTTTGAAAAGAAAAAAAAGAAATTTTAGAGAGTCTCTTGTGATGGATTGTTGGCATGCAAATAATTGTTTTTTTTGTGAAAAAATAAAAATAAATATTAGTTTAGTGTTAAATAATAATTAATTTTATTATTAAAGTTGGCGATATAATAATTGAGAATAATACAAAATTGAAAGATTTATTTAAGTTTAGAGCGTCATCTCAATCCAAAAATCATTCAGAGACCGTCAGGATTCGGAAACCAAACAGCCAATAGTAGTGCCAACAATCGCCAACAATCCATCACAAGAGACTCTCTAAAATTTCTTTTTTTCCTTTTCAAAATTCCTGAAACGAGATCTCGATCGAAAATCCCGGTTATCGAGATCTCGATATCTATTCTCGTATGACACTCCAGTCCGGTCTCTAGTCAACAGTGTAAAGCAATTCTCACTTCAATAATTTTTAAAACTTTATATCCAGTGTTCATAAAAGTGATTTCTAGGGGTAACATAAAATAACTTCTCAAATAAAGGCTGAAAAAATTTCCACAACAAAGGCTGATAAATTTTTTTGTTTAAAAATAAAAACAAATAAAAACATAAAAAAGCTAAAAAGACACAAAAAATTGGACATTTAAATAAACGACGTGGGAAATTTAAAAAATGGGGTAAAACAAGAAACATAGAAAATGGATAGTTGATTAATGGATGGATATATATTGACTTAAGAAAAAGAAAAGGAAATTTTATTAAATTAATTTTGAATTAAATAAATTAAAAAAATATTTTATGTATTAAAATATAAAGGGAAAAATTTTATTTTTTAATTAGAATTTAATTGGTTTCTGAAAAATTTTAGGACATTCAGTAAATAACAGAAAATCCCTAATTCGTCATTTCGGACTAGGTAGTACTGAACCGATAATCCATCAAATTTTCAATATTTAAAAATTAGAAAATACAACGTTGAAAAACAAGTTTCTATCCTTGGTTTGGAGTCTTCAAGAATAATTAATTTTAATTTTATTCCAGCTTTGACACTTTTTATTATTCTCTTCAATCTGTTGGCATTTTCTAGAAAAATTTTCACAAATTTCATCAATATTTTGAATTTTTATTTTTTTAAAAATTCAAAATAGTAAAAAATAAGTTCAACATTCAACTTTTAACAATTAAATCCTATCAAAGATTCGATTTTTTAAAAGTTTCATTTTTATTATTTTCGCTTTTATCCGTCGTATTTTCGTATATTTATTTTAATATTTAATTATTACCTATTTTTAATTAAAAAATTAATTTTTTAATTAAAATTAATTTTACTAAAATAATTGGTCACAAAGCAATAAAATGCTTTAATTTTTCAGAAGATTCACTTTTCCCCTCTCCCAATCAAGTAATTATTAAACAATATATACTTTTGTTCTATAAATCTTTATTAAATTATCACACCGTCAAACATCCAAAAAAAATAAAATAATTAGGTCTTTCTACCCAAAAATATTTTTTTAATTAAAAAAATTGTTTAATCGTCCTTGAAAAAAACAAAAATAATGGATAAATTAATGGAGAAAAAAAATTAAAAAAATAATTTGATTGTGGAACCGTCATTCCTCCGTAATCTCCTTCCTCTCTCTTCTTTATTCATTAACGAGTTAAATGAATCAAAGGGCGAATACATAAATTTGTTTCTCCTTTCCTTCCCTTCATCTTCCAAAAATAAAATAAAGAGAAATGGCCGAAATAAAAAAATAATTTTGGGGAGGAAAAGCGCTGCTGATCACACATTGTGCGGTTTACTTATTAGCTTGAACCAAGAAAGGGAACTGAAAAACAAAAAACTTGTTTTTCCTCTTGTTTTTTTGCTTCATTTATTTCCAAAAAAGGCCGGGGTCATTTTTTGTTTTGTTTTTTTATTTCATTTTGTGGCTTCAGTTGTTTGGTCGTTACTTTATATAGTTGTTGTTGGCCAATTTATCATGCATAAATGAGCCTATTTTCTTTGAACAACCGCTAAAACACTTCAATATAAGCTTTTCAATTTGAGTAATTTAAAGCTCATAATCAGTTATTTTTGCTAAATTTCTTTCTAATTTAATGTAAAAAACATGTTTTTTTTTCTTCCTTAAAAGCTCCAAAGCCTTTAGAAGGGGATGATTACCTCGATATACTCCATTAAGCACGATTTAATGAATTTATAAGGATAGATTATTTTTGTATATCTTATCTCAGAGATATAATACACAAAAAATTATTTTTTATGAAACATGATGGAATTTTCAAACTACCACTTTATTCTTCAATCGTTTAATGCTAAATATTATTTAAATATCCATAATCAGGGATTGGTCGGGCTGAGAAAAAAGTTGGGTTTCGGATCGTGTTTCTAAATTTTCTTCGGATCGGCTTTCAGGTAAAAAAAGACCAGGTTTCGGGTAACGCGGCCCATCCCTGATCATAATCTATTTATCTATCTCTAAAATACATAGAATAGATTTATGATAATTTAAATTTTAATCTCAACACCGAGACTGCATCAAAATTTTAAAATTATAATTTATTCAAATAAATTTATAGAAATATCCCTTCCACCTAAAAATGGTGGACGAAAATAAAGAAGCTGCTAGAAAAGAATGTGAATCACTTAGAGCATTAGCATTCTTCGGTGTTTGTCTCAGTACAGTTGCAATGCTTGTATCAGTTATTTCCATTCCTCTTTGCTATCAAAATGGCAAGAATTTAATAAAAAGAAGTTTTAAAATGAAAATCTTTTTTGGTTTCAGTGCAACGTCAAGCTTCTCTAGGCCAAAATGAACTAGATTTTTGTAGAGGACGATCAAGCAATATTATGCATGAAGTTAGCAGAACACAAGGAATAATTTCAATTCTAAGTGTAATTGATGGAGGCAAAATTAGGCAATCCCGTAAAGCCGGATTTTCTTCAAACAACTCAAAGGCTAGAGCTTCAGCTTCGAGAATAAGGCGTGTAGGGAATGCTTATGGAGGTGTTGATAATGCAGTTACGAGTGGAGGTGGTGGAGGTTGTTGCGGGTGTGGTGTTTCGCCTCCAGGTCCTCCCGGACCGGTTGGACCGCCTGGAACGCCGGGAGATGATGTGAGATATATTTGTTTAAATTAATATTTAAAATTAAATTTAGGGTACGCCTGGATATCCCGGAGAGAAGGGAGAGGATGGTTAGTTTTGATAAAGAATTAATGAATTGAAATTTTATTTCACAGCCCCACCACCAGCTCCACCTGCCTATTCATTTGAGCCGTGTCAGGAATGTGAACGTGCTCAAGATGGGCATCCAGGCTATCCTGGACCACCGGGACCGAGTGGTAAATTTTAAAATTATTTTTAAAATTTTTTACAGAATATTAATTTTAATTATAATTTTATAGGACAACCTGGACAGTCTGGATCGCCAGGTCCTGACGGGCATCCTGGACCTCCAGGACCAGTTGGTCCTCCTGGACCTTCGGGACAGGTTTTGTATAACAATTATTTAGTTAACAATATTTTATACCTTCTAGCCTGGAAGCCCTGGAGAACCAGGTCAACCAGGAACACCTGGCACTCTCAGCGAAGGTAATTACTCTTCATATCTTTATATTTTATATTTAAACATATTCTAGGCCGTCCAGTAGTGGGACCACCAGGACCTCCAGGGCAAAGTGGACAACCAGGCTCTGATGGTTATCCTGGAACACCTGGAAATGATGGGCAGCCAGGTTTGTTTTCAATTGAAGATTTCAGTTTGTAAAAATTGTATTTAAAGGTCAGCCCGGTCCAATGGGTGATCAAGGACCTCCAGGAACCCCTGGAACACCTGGCCAGCCTGGAACACCTGGACTACCAGGAGATAAAGGACCTAAAGGCTCATGCGTAAGTTCAAAGATTAAAATTTCTAATAGAAACTTCAATAAAAATTAATTTTTAGGATCATTGTCCACAACCTAGAACAGCACCCGGTTATTAAATTAGGATTTTAAATGAAAAGAAATGTATATGAATTTAAGTAGAAGGGAAAATGTTAAATTTTATATTTAATTTTTCCAATTATTTTTAATTGTTTTTTTTTGTATTTTTCATTAAATAAAGAAAATTAGAAATTTTTTTAGTTTAAGGAAGGAGAAAATAAACTAAAAAATATTTTGAAGGAATTTACCTTTTAAATTAATTTAAATAATTTTAAACTTTTTAAATTTTTCTAGTAGTAAATGTTTATTTAAAATATTTTATTTAAAATTTACAAACATACATTTTAATTGCACTTTTATTAAATTGCCACGAGTATAATAATTAGTCAATATTATTTTTTGTCTCGATTGTATTACGACTCCACTATTACGACTAGCTTAATTTAAATTTTGAAATTATTTAAATTATATGCGTTAAAATGTTTGTTTTATAATCAAAATACGTTAAAAACTAACTAAAACATATCCCACAAAAAGACAAAATTGTCGGTTTAAACATTCTTTCACTTAATCATAACTCTCATCAGGGACTTCTGATCAGGGAGAGTATCTAAGTTTTGCATCTGATCTGCCTTCGACCTTGAAAAATAGTAGGTTAAACTTAGGTAGCTTGAACCTAACAATAGACTTTTTATTAGACAAAATTCAAACATCCTACTTTATATTGAGGCATTTCTACTTTGAAGTTCGAATTATTAAGTTTCAGATGATTAATAAATTAATTATTCTTCTACATTTAATTATTTTATTAAATACTCAATGTTCCGGAAGGATTGTTCCTGCAGAAGTTAAAATCAAAGATGATTGGGAAGGAAAAAGAGAATTTATTTATTTAAAAAATGTTGAACAAAAGGATCGTTTTGTAGTGAAAAAAATTGAGAAAAAGAATAAATATGTTAGCCACAAGCATAATATAAAGGATTTTTTGTGTCCAATTAGCTTTGACTCTGATAAAAATACTTTTGATACCTCAACAAGTACTGGTTCGAAATATAGTCGATCTGTTCAATTAAAAAATAAAATTCTGATTGAGATTGCCAATAATCAGATTATTCAAAATCTTTTGCCTGAATTTGAAAAACGGGTATTTTATTAAAATTATAATAATTACAAAGAAATCAGACCTAAATTCTATATACACCAAACAGCTTACGATTAGTTCATTCAATTGAGATTACAGCCTGAACTGGGCGGGGGGGGGGTCTCGAATGTTTTCCCTAAGTATCTATAAATTGGGTTCCTATTGAAAAAAAAAACAAAAACATTTGCTCACATTTCCTTCTTATAATGTAACTTATAAATATTACCTATATTAATTCTATTTTAAGATTCTTCAAAATAATACTTTCAATAAAACCAATAATAAACATTATAGAACTTCAATATTGAATGAGAGTTTAGAAAATATAAAAAATTTCACAGATTTGAACTCAATAAAGGAAAATTATGAAAACAAACTTTTATCAAGTTATTGGTCAGAAATTAATTTAATTGCATATAAAATTGAATTATTAAAAAAACAAAAAGTTGAATATTCGAAAGAAGAAAACAGAAAAATTGTTTATATTGGCAATAAAATAGGTAGATTTTTGACTTTGATATTGTTTTTATTTTGAGAACTTGAAATCTTTTTTTTTTGAAAATTTTGCAGCCAATTCCAGCTCGAGAGATTTGCCCCGTTATTTAAAAAAATTTTTTTTTGTGACCGTCCCTGGCCTTTAGGAAATCCTTAGTAATTAAAAAATATTCTTAATTACCTATAATACAGATGAAATTATTGAGGGAGAAGGCCGGTATTGTTTTAATTGTGGAGGTAAAAATACCATACAATGGTATAACTACCTAAATGAACAAAATCTGTGCAAATCATGTTTCATCTATGGGCATCAGAATAATGGAAAGTTTAGACCAAAAGAATTGTGGGTTAAAACTAAAAAGGTTATCCAAAAATTATTTAAAAATAATTCTGAAATTGAATTTTAAAAATTAAATATATATTTTTCCAAAAAATAAACAATTCGAATATATTTTCTTCAGCAAGTTCCAAGCAAACAAAAACGTCAATGTTATATTTGTGGATCCACAAAACGTGTTAACTACCGTGATTCAGAATCTGGAAACCATTTATGTACTTCCTGTTACAAGAAACAACATTACAAAAAGAAAAAAGATAAAAATTTAAAAGAAAAGGAATTATGTTTTTGAGAATTTGATGAGAAAAGACAAAAAATTATATACAGTCTGACTTTTCCACAAAAATGATAAAATTCATGTTCGTACCGCACCGGCTCTGGTCTAGTTTATGCGTCCAATGAAAAATTATGAGTTGATCATAAAATCTTGATTGGACATTTCATTGGACGCATAAACTAGACCAGAGCCGGAGGATAGTATATATACTTTGAGAAAGTATTAAAAATGATCAGATTGTTTCATTTTGATTGTTGTGAGCACATTGAAAAAGATTGTTGTGAGCACATTCATTTTGATTGTTGTGAGCACATTGAACTGATTACAATTAGAAGTGGTACTTAAAGATGCCACTGATTCCGAAAAGCAGAACTGGTACTTATAGACATAGAGTAAGGGTGGTAATACATTTTAAGTCTGATAATTTTTAAATTTTATATTTAGTTTCCCCGTTATTTTTGATTGTTTTTTTTATATTTTTTATTAAAATAAAGGAAATTAGAAATTTTTTCAGATAAAGGAAGGAGAAGATAAACTAAAAAATATTTTGAAGGATATTGTTCGATCCTCTCGTAGGGTGTGCTTATATTAGAGGGTGCGCTTTATTAGAGAGTGTGCTTTTATTTTTCGATCTATTTTTAAATGTTTAAAAAAAATTTTATACCCCACATAACACAATAAAAATTAAATTTCAATCGAATTATTCTTTCAATTCCATTTTAGTTATTTTCATTGAGATTAATTTCTGCCAAAATTTCTGAGATTTCTTTATCTCTAGTAATATCTAAAATCTATGTCTAAAATCTAATAAGGGAAGTGCCCAAACAATGCATCAGTGAGCTATCGGCCAGTAGTCGCACAATGCATTAGTGGGCAATCGGTCAATGAACAAATAGGAGGATTAGGGGAGTCTCGGGTCTAGATTTTTTCCGAACGGATTAATCCCGAAAAATCCGACCAGTACTAATTCCTCTTTTATTTTTCTAGTAGTAAATGTTTATTTAAAATATTTTTATTTACCAGTTACAAACAAACATTTTAATTGCACTTTTATTAAATTGCCACGAGTCTAATAATTAGTCAATATTATTTTTTGTCTCGATTGTATTACGACTCCACTAATACGACTAGCTTAATTTAAATTATGAAATTATTTTTAAATTATGTGTTAAAATGTTTGTTTTATAAAAATACGTTAAAAACTAATTAAAACAAATCCCAAATATTTAGTTAAAGACACTAAAAATTGTCGGTTTAAACATTCTTTTATTTAATCATAACCAAACTTGTACCATCTGAACGAGTAAATAAAGTTATGATTATTTATTTGTTCTGATCAGGGAGATTATCTAAGGGTACTTTATTAATATCCCGCCCCTCACCTCTATTTGAGTCTCAGATTATTTTTCCTTTCTTGTTGTCAATCATTTATTTCCCTCCAGAGTTGCGTCGTAATTGAAAAATTTTTTTCGTAATCGTAATTCGTAATTTTTAAAAAATTTTCGTAATCGTAATTCGTAACTGAAAAAATGCCGTAATTCGTAATTCGTAATCGTAATTCGTAATTTTTAAAAAATATTTAAATTATCTTTAAAAATCAAATATCTATTAATAATTGCTCCTGTTACCATTAATCCCTCCAAGTCACTTAATCCTAATGATAAATCCTATCCAAGTCTCTTAATATCTCTTAATCCTAATAATCCTCCGATATCTCTTAAAACAATGCTGCGGAATCATTGTCCAGATTAAAGTTTGATATCATGTGAAATCCCTCTCACTTAATCCTGAGCCAAAACTTATATTTTCTGCGCCGCAGGCGAAAATTTTTAAAAATTCATTTCTTCCCCTTCTCATTCTAAAATTTAATGGCAAAATTATTTTCGTAATTCGTAATTTTTCCCTATATTTTCGTAATCGTAATTCGTAATTTAAAAAATTTTTTCGTAATCGTAATTCGTAACTGAAAAAACACCGTAATTCGTAATCGTAATTCGTAATTACGACGCAACTCTGTTTCCCTCCTTTTCTAATGCCAATCTTTTTTTCCTTCAAATATAGGACACCCAAAGGAGCGCATGCCTTAACGCGCAAAGCCATAATTTGCTTTAAGATTTTCAAAACTTATCAAAGTTAATATTAAACGATTCCTCCCTAAGTAATAATATTAACAAGTTTTGCATCTGACTTGCCTTCGACCATGAAAATTAGTAGATAGACTTATTGCTAAACAGCAAAAAAACAATTTAATTTAAATTGAGATATACCCACACGTACGTGTTTCTACATTGAGGTCCAATTTTAAAATTTTTAGGTTTCAGATGATTAGTAAATTAATTATTCTTTTACATTTAATTATTTTATTAAATATTCAATGCTCCGGAAAACAGATTCCTGTAGGAGTGAAAATCAAAGATGATTGGGAAGGAAAAAGAGAATTTATTTATTTAAAAAATGTTGAACAAAAGGATCGTTTTGTATTGAAAATAATTGAGAAAAAGAATAAATATGTTAGCCACAAGCATAATATAAAGGATTTTTTGTGTCCAATTAACTTTGACATTGATAAAAATATTTTTGATACTTCAATACGCAATAGATCGAGATATACTCCATTTGTTCAATTAAAAAATAAAATTCTGATTGAGATAGCCAATAATCAGATTATTCAAAATCTTTTGCCTGAATTTGAAAAACGGGTATTTTATTAAAATTATAATAATTACGAAGAAATATTAATTCTCTTTAAGATACTCCGAAATAATAATTATGATAAAACGAATAAAAAAAGTTACGAAACTTCTATATT